GGGGGGCTTTTGCGTCGCAGGGGTGGAGGGGTGGTCATTTTTTTGGTGGATGGGGGGGGGTTGTGTTGGTTTGGGGTTGATTTTGATTTGATTTTGATTTTGGGGGAGGGGTTGGCGATGAGGTGGGGGTAAGGAAGGAGACGTGATGAGTTGGATCTTGGATTGGAAGTAGAAGTGTAGTCGTAAAAAGGGTATGTTGTGTGATGAAGTATATTGTTTGGTTTGATTTGGTTTGGTTTGGTATTTGAACTTGGATTTTGCTTGCGGAGGCGAGATAGTAAGGAGGCGTGATGACTGAGTTTCGGAACCCGCTCCCAGACTTGGAAACAGACCAAATGAGACCGAATCCCGTAGAGTAATAGTAGTCGTAGTCGTGGCCGTGTGAAGAAGTACACTACGTATCCTCTCGTCAGCTCCAAGAAAACAGTAGCGTAGGTAGGTAAATAACCTCAAAAGACACCCATGGACCACTGACAATATCATTCATTCATTAATCTCATACCAAAAACCCCATGAAAGCCACTTCAAGTAATATAAGTTAAGCCCCAGTCAATTATCCTCCAAAATCAACCAAATAATTCTACCCAAAAAAGGTCCTTCACAAAAAGAGGGGTACCTATCAACCTCTTATACTTGATCCCATCTAAACTACGTTAACCGCACCTCCACCAGACCTCGGCTCAACTCCTCCAATAGTATATAACCGAGAAAGGGTACAGTAACCTCAGACCTCAGACCTCCACTTTTCGTCGTCCAGGCAAGAAAAACAAAGCACACTAGCAAGGACATGCTTTCCCCAGATTTCCCTAGACTTTACTTTACTTTACCTTACAGTACAGTACTTACCACGTGCCTTAAAACACAATAGATACTCGAGTACCTAATAAGCAACGAAAACACCAAACTTAGCACCTACCTATCTTCACTTGACGCCTTCCCTTCACTCCAGCCTGTTACAGTAATCTACTGTGATTACATACTCACGTGATACTCAAGTACCATGAAGAAAGAGTTGGAAACAGGTGAAATCAGATCCAACCAATCCAATCCCATACCATCTATCCCACCTAGACAGAGTACCTCCATATATACTCACAAGAAAATTATCAAATCTACCCCCACTCTCCACTCTCCACTCTCCAGCCTTCTACTCACACTTTATTCACACTCACACATTATTATTCATACACTACCTATATCCACATTCACATTCACAATCACACTCACACCACACCAAGCGAATTGAATCAAATCAGTATTTCATGTTATTGTATTCAGGAGATTCCATCCATCCATCCCTCAATCCATCCATACTTATCTCAACCACCCAGTCAAATCAAATCAAATCAAATCAAATCGAAAAAAGAAAGAAAAAAAGGCGTCGCTCAAATTCGTAAAACAGAGATCACATCTGATGATAATTCCCTTTCCCCCTTACCCAAATTAGGAAAGGGGTAAACTAAGGCTTCCCAATCGGAGGCACAAAAAAAATTCAAGAAAACACAATCTCCTAACGCCCCGGGTATGAGAAAGAAAAACCATGACTGCCAGTCTTGATGAAAAAATCAAAGCCACACTGGCCCAAGACATATGATTCGAGAAACGACAGAGAAAGAAAAAAAGAAAAAAAGCAAGTAGCCGCTTCTTAAAGAGAGGCTACTAGTATATATGACATGCTACAGCTTTTCCCCTTCCAAATACACCCCTTGATCCCATAAACCCAAATTTGTCCCGCATTAACCACAACTTAATCGATAGTCATTCTGCTCGATGTCGGCTGGTGTCCAGGTTTGAGATCCGGTAATTCGGTCATGGTACCTCCTAACTTCTCGGTATCTTCATCTGTGATCTTGCGACTCATCACATGTTGCTTCAAGCCTTTGTTGAAGTTCATCATACAGGTGATAGCGTTGGTGATGGTAAGAACAATCAGGAGAATGGTAATGACAGCAAAACTTGTCAAATTCTTACGGACCGGCTTGTAATACTCCTCGTGGTCTTTTTGATACATTCGAGCAAGCTTGAAAACGAAGTATGCCATTCCACAGAAGAAAATAAGAATGGAGGTACTGGTGCCAATTTTATTCTCGCGTCGAGTCCAGTATGCCGACATGAACAGAATGAGAATCGTGATGGGAATTGCAGCAATCGTTAGACCAAGCTCGGCATCGGTCTTCCCAGTAACGATGACGAGGAATTGAACGGTAAATCCAAGGAAGAAGAAAAAGTCAAACTTGAGTAGGGTGATATAAATCTGTGGTAAAATTAATACTCATCTAGGGAGCCAGGAACCAATTTACTTACCTGGAAGGTCAAGAACCTTCTCTTCATGCGAAGGTCTGCACTGATGTGTTTGTAAATAGTCCAGGCAAACTCATCATAGAGTTTCCAAGCATTGAATGCCTGTACGACAGTCCAGAATGCAATTATACATGGCACGGCCACAAGATATGGTTTCACGTCGAACCATAGAGGGTTCGTCGCGTCAATGTGGCCTAAGACTTTCAATACGCCAATTGCGCGATCGACCTGGTCGAATTGAATAGCGGCGTATATCAGCATTCCAACATTGTACAAGCACAATCCAATGACCTGAATGGTGTTTTTCATTCGCAACGAGTCGTATACCAATACGAGCTGGTATATGAAGCCGAAGATGAAAAGCGTAAGATAGGTAGGTATAGTTTTTCCTTGAGGAACACTATCCCCGGCAGGCTTCAAAGCTATCTGGAACTTGGTGAAGACATATCTAGATTCAGGATTAGCAGGCGTCCCTCCGATGGCGACTAGTCACGTACATCTCAATTCCCAAAACCATAAGGGCCTGCGCAGCAGTGGTAATTAAGAACCCCCACGTCCATCTTGAATTTGGTCTATTCCCCCGTTAGTACTGGAGATGGCGCTGCGATAGATGGATGCCCTGTTCGCTGCTTACATGTACATCCTGAATCTTGGTTTCTGAACTGGTTCGATTATTCCTTCTCTGCTAAAATATCCTCCTACTGTACCATCCGGCAACAGACTACTACGGGATTCTAATCGATAAGCCACGGTTGCGATGGATTGCTCGCAAGAGCTACCGCGTGCCTCGAGGCGGTTGGAAAGCGCAGGACCGTTAAAGGTTCGATGCCTCGAGAGCTTGTTTCGTTTGACGTTGGATACGAAGAATTGATCGGATGATGGCGGAAGTCAATTTGATGTTGATGACCAGGAATGGGTAGTTAGTAGTCTGGTCTGGTGTTGTCGATGAGCGACGGTGGTTGTCGCGCGAATGGATTGCAACGAGCGTGAAACACCAAATGTCTGCGTGAAGGGCTGAACTAGTTCAGGGGCCGTAGGATTGGGAGGTTTAACGAGAGATTCGAAGGGGCGAAGCGAAAGAAATGGGTGGCGACGATGAGGATAGAGAGATGTAGGAAAAAAGAGGGCGAGTCGGATCGGTGTCGGTAGGAGAGGAGAAGTGGAGGAGGTCGAGGTCGAGGTCGAGGGCGAAGGAGATGAGTGAATGTTGTCGAGGTTGAGGTGGTGTCGATGATCTGACGGGACCAGGCACTGTGAAGCAGTTGGGGAAGGTTCCGTTGCGGCCGCCTTTCCCCAGTCGGTCAGACGTTTAGTGCTATTAGTGCTGTTCGCGTGCAGCAGGAGGGCCACCAGGGCTGCTGAAGGCCAAGGAAGACGCTGTAGACAAGTGGGTACCAAGCGAGTGACAGAGCGTAAGGCGTCGGCACGCTGAAAATAGGCCTGTCAAGAGGCCTGTCACCTGTGACGATCCAACACTGGTGCTCGGTGGGTAGGGATGGAGCCTTGGTCGAGAGGCTAGAGTGCGACCTTGGACGATCCGGATGGGTGGGTAGAGTGGTGGGTAAGGTGGTGGTGGTGTTTCTGCGCGCACGCTGCCAATCCGTGTTGGAGAGGGCGATGGAAATGGATGAGGTGAAGGGCTCACGGCTCAGGTTCTCACAGAGACCAAATTACAGAAGATGGGGTGCCGACGGTGCTTCCTATTTACTCGTAATCTCACGTCTTGGCCAGCGTACCAAGTGGCTTGCACAATCTTCGTGCGGCCTGGGCGAGCGAGGCGAGGCGCAGTATTTCCCGCGGAGGCTGAGTTATTCAGCAACCGGGAAACACTCTTCACTTCTCCATACTGACTACTGCACTGCACTGCACTCTGTAACTGCACAGCATTCTTCACCACTGCCAAACGAATTGCGGTGTCTTTGCTAGCGTACTCGGTGCGACGGCCCAGCGATGCTAGTGCTATGGCATAAACGTGGTCCGACGTGCAAAGGCGGTACTTCAGGGTTGGCCCGTCGAACGATGTTTGAGATTGATCTGGAAATATTCTCTTGGGGCAATCTTCATCACTTCTTGATAAAATTGCCGAGAAATCTCCCAGAGGGCCACTCTGCCAGAGGGAGAGCAGAAAAAAGGAAAAACCATCGTCAGCTCCGGGTGTAGTGACGGCTGGGATCGGGTCAGATCTACTCCAGTATTTACGCCCCTTCGAGCCCACTTATAAGTACTTTATACCGTACTCGGTACACCGACCTCAACCAAACTCCAGACGAGGATCTATCGTTCAATCCCTCGAATGATTTCCAATCGATATGTTTCACGATAAAAGCATCGGCTGCTCGTCCATCATCCTTCGTTCATTGTGGCTAATTATGAGGTACTTCAAAGTTAATATTTTACGAAGTGTGGCGCACTGCTTCAACACCAAGGACCAGCTGGCGAAGCCAAGCCCAGTTCCCTCTTCATCACGTCAAACACACATATGCAAGTGATTGGGTTTGAAAGACCCTTTTCCACGCAGATCGCCAACTATTTATTTCAATGCCATGAGCTGGATGACATAAAAACACTTGTTGGAGGCAGTACTTGGAACACTTTTCATCGCCGACTTGCAGTCTTGCATTGCAGTATCATTACGAGGTTCTGGACTGCTTGGCTTGAGAAAGTCAAGCCTTGTGACTTGGAGAGTGAGATTGCCCGGGTATCCACAGTACACGTTACTTGAACTCTATGAGAGTCCGACTCCGTGGAACGAGAATTTCTTTACATTCTTCTACCTAGCCCTACAATCCGCCACGACATATCGAATGACTTTCCCTCAAAGAGTTCGTCATCTTCATCAGATCAAGCTAACTTTTGCCCCCCCTCTAACAACTCCAAAAGTATGCTGAATTTTCGACCCTAATGGTCCTGAAATGTGTCGTAGGATGATTAAGCAGTGGATGGGTCGAGGGTAACACCAGAAACAATATTGGCCCAACCACTACACAGCGTCGGTTAGTTGCTACTTTCAAGAGGGGAGATGCGGCGGCTACTTACATCAAACGCCAATGCTTCTCAATACGACGACTCAGAGCCACCTTCTCACCAATGTTAGTGCATGCAGGACTGGTCAAAACCAACTTCGCCGCATCGTTCTTGACAGCAACGACCTTGGCTCCGGTGGCCGTTGATCCAATATTTACCATCAACACTTCATTCTTGGCAAGCTTAGCCACCTTGGCTTGTTTTCCATCAGCAGTCTTGACACCCAAAAGACGACGGAGAAGGAAGTAATTGACTTCAATCTCGGTGTAGATATCTGGTAAGCGGCCCTTGAGACCAAGAACGAAACCAACCAAACGATCAGCACGACAGAGAGTTGGATCAATTCGGGTACCAACACCGATCAACCCACCAGGTACTGCGTATTTCAAATCGTTATTCTCCGAGTTGAGAGTGACAATTCTGCTGAAAATAGGCGTGCACTTAATGGCTCCCTTATCGTCACGTGTAACAATTCCAGGTCGAATTTCAATCTCGTCACCAAGCTTCAGGACACCGTGAAGAATGGATCCACCCGCAACACCTCCCTTTAGCTCATCAATTTCAGCACCTGGCTTGTTGACATCAAAAGACCGAATAACGATCATATGAGGGTCCATGGTGAAATCTCTTGGGGGAACTGGGATGGTGGAGACAATTGCCTCATTGATAGCATCAATGTTAAATTTCAGTTGCGCTGAAATTGGAATGATGGGGGAACCTCCAGCAACAGTTCCTCGGATGAATTTCAAGATCGATTGATAGTGCTGATTTGCGCTCTCCTCCTTCATGAGATCCACCTTGTTCTGGAGAATGATGATCTTGTTGAGCTTCATGATTTCAATAGCTGCAAGATGCTCGGAGGTTTGAGGTTGTGGGCAGGTTTCGTTTCCTGCAATAAGTAGGAGAGCGGCGTCCATAACAGCTGCACCTGACAACATAGTGCTCATGAGAATATCGTGACCAGGGCAATCGACGAAGCTGTATGGGTTAGAACTTATCCATGTATACAAAAGGATATACGCACGAAACGTGTCTGAGCAATCTGTATGTACCCGCGCAGCCATCTCTCTCACACGGGGGATCAACCTCCTTCTCGCTCTTATAACTCCTGAAGCATGTCGGTCTTGGGCATTCCTCGTTGTCGCACTTGTAGATTTTGGCATTGGCATAACCAAGCTTGATAGTAATGTTTCGCTCCAGCTCGTTCTTAAACCTGACCGTCTGGACACCTGAGATAGCCTTTACCACTGTGGATTTTCCGTGCGCGACGTGCCCAATAGTTCCGATGTTGATGGTTGCCTGTCGTGCGATGATTTCGGGCGTGAGAGGATTCAGAGTCTTTACATCCAAATCTTTTGGCTCCGTTTGAGGAGGGAGTATGGGGCGTGCGATGGCTGGCGCAGCATGCTTCTGGTCTTTTTTCAGCGCAGATTTCACTGGCTTATCCTCAATCTCTGGAACGTTGTCATCAAAATCGTTTTGTGCCTCAAACCCTGGGGAACCTGGGCCAGAGTCGGAATCAGAGTCTAGGTCGTTGCCGTATTTATCGCCGTTCGCCGCCATGTTGGGTGGTTTGATGTGGTTTTGTAAAGGTAAGAGTACCTTGTGGCGGGGTAAACTCAACGGCCTTTCGGTGGGATGGGACCGGCTTCGCGGAAGGGCTGAAGAATTGCCTGATACAGCAGAGTTTGGGTATCCAACCTTCGATGAGGGTGGGGAGATTCGTGGTGGGGAGGATCGTGGGGGCGTAGGCGTATTTCGAGGTTTTGATGCTCAAAAGTTTGTGGTGAGTCAATGCCGCCGAGATCAAGCTTTGCCGGGATGTGGGAGCGAACGCAGGCTCGGGGCCATTCTTATGATCCAACTTAAGGCGGAAGGTGAAGCCCACCTCAACTTTCCAACAAAGACACAACGCTTCAACCTCAGCACAAAAAGCCGCCAATTGGTATTTGCAGCAATGGCAAATCTTGGACTAAATGCAGCGCAGGCTTTACCACGCTTTCTCCTCCCAAAGTTGAGCTGGCAAACGGCCCCAACTCACCAAATCCGAACGATAAGCACTGCCGTCTGCAGTTACAATGGCCTGTCAAATCAGACAACTCCCTCGTCAAGAGCAATTTATGCCAGACAAAACAAGAATGAGCTCGCTGCACGAAAACCAACTATACTGCAGAATCCGGTGCATCGTCGAGCTTTCCATGCCACAACCCCAAGGTGGAGAGACCACCACTTCGATACCTTGAAGTTTGTACAGCGATTGCAGGAAGAAGGTTTTACAGAGGCTCAGTCAGTTGCTATGATGAAAGTGCTTAGCGATGTGATTGAAGAAAGGTCAATTCAATCATGATTCCAATAGATTTGATTGCGTTATTGACTTTGCGACAGCATTCAAAACTTGACTCGAACTATGGTTTTAAGGGAAGACCAAGCGAAAGCAACGTATACCCAGAAAGTAGATTTCGCAAAACTTCGATCAGAACTCATATCCGCAGATTCAACGGAATCAGCTACGACCCGAGCTTCGCATGAACGTCTCACGAACGATTTGGCCAAGTTGAATGCTAGACTGAGGGATGAGGTCAGCAGAACTCAAGCTTCTGTAAGATTAGACTTGAACTTGGAGAAGGGTAGGATTCGGGAAGAGGCAAATGTGCAGGAATTGAAGATTAAGGAGACTGAAACGAAGATTGAGCAAGAGGTTGCTGGGCTAAGAGAGAAATTGGAGGCTGTCAAGTTTCAGACTTTACAATGGTTGATGGGTGTTTGTACTGGTAAGTTCATCATCATCTATGGGGTCTTTTATACTAACTTTTTCAGGTACCGCCGCACTCATTCTTGGTGCCTGGAGGCTGTTGATGTAGATGTAAATTATATTAGAAGATGTCTTCAAGAATACCGAAGGAGCATCACCATCTATTTGACTGATAGAAGTGCACTATGGCCAAATATACTTGTCTCGTCTGGCATGGAAGACAGATATTCAAGATCCCCAAAGTATTATGACTGATGCTGGGTATTTTGGCGTCACTAAAGAACGGCATAAGTAGCCCTATTTTTAGGGGTCAATTCAACACCTAGCTATTCTCAGATTACTTCCTACCTTGAGATCATACTGGGGATAAGAAGGATGGTTCTCTAACTTTGCAAGGGTTTTGCTGGAACTCTGAAAATAACGTTGGAGGACCCCTAACACAATTTATCTTTGGATTGCATCCTGGGATATGTAAAACTTGCACCCTTCAAACATCTGTCCAATGACAAAAGGCGAAATGGTCTGTGGGAGGAGATCTATGTTATTCACCATGTCAAGTGTATGAGTGTTACGACTTGGGGTTCAAGATACTGTAACTCTAGTTGGTACCAATGAACATAATCTTCAGTATTTGTCCATAAACATGTTCTGAAGTGAAGTTCAGTCTACACCAAACCAGTTGATGAGCACCGACCAGGTACAAGCTCAGGGGACAAATCATAGGTACCCCAGATCTCCCTCTAGCTGTCAGATTCACGTGATCCGACCTGAGGCTCCATCACGTTGTGCTCAAGCTTAGGGAGTGCACAGCGTGTCCATCCAAGCAATCAACAATCACCTTCTGATCTCCTTCCAACTTCTCCCACCGCGATTCCTTTTTTTCCGGGATCTATTTCAGCTTCACACTCATTTCCGATTTTTGCGCATTCTAACATAATTTGCTAGCGCTGAGTACCCTCCTCAAATTGAATAGCCCTCGGGCAAGACGCACCCACCACATATCCCAAGATGGGCTCCCTACCCATCAAATTTACGGAACTGCTCCAGGTACGTCCAGATCGGTTTGCTCTGCGAGCAAGATCTTGATACCTGAATCATAACTGACAGTTCGCAATAGCTGACCAGCGCTGCCGTTAATGTTGAGGTACGTGCCACGCGCTCCATATACTCTAGCTGGCAGAGCTACAGGCAACCATTTACCGACTCTGAACTAACCTGCATTCTTTATAGCAAGCATCAATTGGCTTCAACTCGTGTGTAAGTTCTGCTGCAGAGGTCATATTTGAAAATTGGGCAATCGCTGATATCCACGCCAGACCCTTGAATCCGACTCCTTTATTTGTATTCGCGAGAAGAAGAACGAAGCTGCCTCACCCGAAGTCATAATCATCGATCTCAAACAAAATAACAATGTCATCCGACGACCCATCAAGGCGGACAGTGCTATCATGCACTGGACAAAGCAGGTTATTGCGTTAAAGGCCCAGTCGCGTACCCTTCAGATATTCGACCTCGGCCAAAAGACAAAGCTGAAATCGGCGACCATGAACGAGGATGTAGTGTTCTGGAAGTGGTTCAGTGAGACAAGCTTGGGTTTGGTGACAGATACTGCAGTATTCCACTGGGATGTGTTTGATCCAAATCAGCCATCTCCAGTAGAAGTATTCAAGAGAAATCAAAACCTAGCAGTAAGTCCAGGCAAGTTTCAGGGTTTTTTAGCTTGGGTTCTAATTTCAAGCAGGGCTGCCAAATTATCAATTACCGCGTTAGCGATGATGGGGATGGAAAATGGATGGTTGTGATCGGTATCCAACAACAGCAGGGTCGAGTGGTTGGTGCTATGCAACTTTACTCCAAAGACCGTGGTATCAGTCAGGCGATCGAGGGACATGCTGCTGCATTCGGTACACTACGCCTAGAAGCTGCACCATCAGACACCAAAGTTTTCACGTTTGCGGTCCGTACGGCCTCTGGCGCAAAGCTGCACATCGTTGAAGTTGATCATCAAGCTGCAAACCCGGCTTTTCCTAAGAAGGCCGTTGATGTATACTTCCCACCAGAAGCCGTAAACGATTTCCCTGTTGCGATGCAGGTTTCCCAGAAGTACAGCGTCATCTACCTCGTTACGAAATACGGCTTCATCCACCTATACGATTTGGAGACTGGAACCTGTATTTTCATGAACCGCATTTCAAGCGAGACTATCTTTATCACAACCTCCGACTCAGCCTCCCAGGGTCTGGTTGGTATCAACCGTAAAGGACAAGTGCTGTCTGTTGCTGTTGACGAATCTACCATTATTCCCTATCTCCTTCAAAATCCTGCCAACTCTTCATTGGCAGTCAAGCTTGCATCCAGAGCTGGACTTCCCGGTGCAGACAACCTATATGCTAATCAGTTCGAGTCATTGATTCAAGCCGGTAATTACGCAGAGGCTGCGAAGATCGCCGCAAACTCGCCTCGGGGCTTTTTGCGTACACCACAGACAATCGAGAAGTTCAAGTCACTGCCAGCTATTCCTGGTCAGCTTTCTATCATCCTTCAGTACTTTGGCATGCTGCTTGATAAGGGAGCTCTTAATAAACACGAGACACTCGAGCTTGTAAGACCGGTTCTTGCACAACAGAGAAAGCACTTGCTTGAGAAGTGGATGCAAGAGAAGAAGCTGGATTGCTCAGAGGAGTTGGGTGATATCGTTCGTCCACATGACATATCACTAGCTTTAACAATATACCTTCGTGCCAATATCCCACCAAAGGTTGTTGCTGCTTTTGCAGAGACTGGCCAGTTTGAGAAGATCCTTCCATATGCCACTCAAGTAGGATACACACCGGATTATATTGTTCTCCTTCAAAACATAGTCCGTATCAACCCCGAGAAAGGTGCCGAATTTGCAACCCAACTTTCACAAAACGAGAGTGGTCCTTTGGTAGACATCGAGCGTGTCGTTGATGTCTTCCAATCTCAGGGTCTGGTCCAACCAGCAACTGCTTTCCTGCTCGATGCCCTCAAGGACAATAAGCCAGAGCAAGGCAACCTCCAGACTCGTCTTCTTGAGATGAACCTTATGAGTGCTCCTCAAGTTGCCGATGCTATACTCGGAAATGACATGTTCTCCCACTACGACAAGCCTCGTATTGCAGCACTTTGCGAGCAAGCTGGTCTCTTTCAGCGTGCACTCGAGCATTACGAGGACCCAGAGGCTATCAAGCGTGTCTTGGTTAACATTGTTGCAACACCAAATTTCTCTGCTGACTGGTTGGTCAACTTCTTTGGTCGCCTGTCCCTCGAGCAATCTCTTGACTGCCTTGATGCCATGCTGAAGAGCAATATTCGACAGAATCTTGCTTCTGTGGTCCAAATTGCCACAAAGTACTCCGACCTATTGGGTGCTACAAGATTGATCGATCTTTTCGAGAAGTACAAGACAGCTGAGGGATTGTTTTATTATCTCGGAAGTATTGTCAACTTGAGTGAAGATCCCGATGTTAACTTCAAATACATTGAGGCCGCTACCAAGATGGGCCAATTTGGCGAGGTAGAGCGCATCTGCCGTGATTCAAACCATTACAACCCTGAAAAAGTTAAGAACTTCCTGAAGGAGGCTAAGCTTGTTGAACAATTGCCACTCATCATTGTCTGCGATCGATTCGACTTCATTCATGATCTGGTCCTCTATCTCTTCCAGAACCAACAGTTCAAGTCGATCGAAGTCTATGTTCAACGCGTCAACCCCGCCCGCACTCCTGCAGTTGTTGGTGGTCTCCTCGATGTCGACTGCGATGAAAGCATCATCAAGAATCTCCTTCAAACTGTTAACCCAGCCTCGGTACCTATCGATGAGCTTGTCGGCGAGGTTGAGACACGCAATCGCCTCAAGATCTTGCTTCCCTTCCTTGAAGCCACCCTCGCAGCTGGTAACCAACAACAAGCTGTCTACAATGCCTTGGCGAAGATTTATATTGATAGCAACAATGATCCGGAGAAATTCCTTCGCGAGAACGACATGTATGATACTCTCGTGGTCGGAAAGTAAGTGTTGAAAACTCCCATAAGATTTATCATACAGAAAACTAACCAGTGAAAAGATATTCGGAGAAACGAGACCCAAATCTTGCCTACATTGCCTATTCCAAGGGCCAGAACGATTTGGAATTGGTCAACATCACCAATGAGAACTCTATGTTCAAAGCTCAAGCCCGCTATCTCCTTGCCAGAGCTGACAATGAGTTGTGGTCCTTCGTTCTCAGCCCAAACAACATCCACCGCCGCTCTGTTGTAGACCAAGTCATCTCTACGGCTGTACCTGAGTCAACCGAACCAGACAAGGTTTCTGTTGCAGTCTCCTCTTTCCTTAATGCCGATTTGCCTGGAGAATTAATCGAGCTTCTAGAGAAGATTGTCCTCGAACCATCGCCATTCAGTGACAATGAAAATCTTCAGAATCTTCTCATTCTTACAGCAACCAAGGCTGACAAGAGCAAGGTATTGGATTACATTCATCGACTCGACGCCTACAATGCACCCGATATTGCCAACATCTGTATTGAGGTTGGCTTATATGAGGAGGCACTTGAGGTTTACAAGAAGACCAATGATCACAAGAGCGCCGCAAATGTTCTCGTGGAACACATTGTCAGCATTGACCGTGCTCAGGAGTATGCCGAGCGAGTTGAGCTTCCTGAAGTATGGAGCATTGTTGCAAAGGCTCAATTGGACGGTCTCCGTGTCACAGATGGTATTGAATCATACATTCGTGCTGAGGATGCCAGCAACCATCTCGAGGTCATCGAAATTGCTACACACGCTGGCAAAGATGAAGATCTCATCAAATTTCTCCGCATGGCCCGCAAGACTCTCCGAGAACCCGCCATTGATACTGCCTTGGCTTTCTGCTTTGCCCGCACCGAGCAATTGAGTGAGTTGGAGGACTTTTTGCGTGGCACAAATGTTGCGAACATTGAGGAATCTGGTGATAAGGCATATGCGGAAGGTCATCATCTTGCTGCCAAGATCTTCTTCACCAGTATCTCCAACTGGGCCAAGTTGGCAACAACCCTCGTCCACCTCGAAGATTACCAGTCTGCTGTTGAGTGTGCACGTAAGGCAAACAACATCAAGGTCTGGAAGCAAGTCAACGCCGCTTGTGTGGAGAAGAAGGAGTTCAGATTGGCACAAATTTGTGGCTTGAACTTGATCATCGACGCCGAAGAATTGCAGGACTTGGTCAAGCAGTATGAGCGCAATGGATACTTTGATGAACTCATTGCCGTCCTCGAACAAGGTCTTGGTCTCGAACGCGCTCATATGGGTATGTTCACTGAGCTTGGTATCGCTTTGTCCAAATATCACCCTGATCAGGTTATGGAGCACTTGAAGCTCTTCTGGGGCCGTATCAACATTCCAAAGATGATCCGTGCATGCGAGGAGGCACATCTCTGGCCAGAGCTTGTCTTCCTTTACTGCCATTATGACGAGTGGGATAATGCAGCACTTGCCATGATGGAGCGCGCTGCCGATGCTTGGGAGCACCATTCCTTCAAGGACATTATCGTCAAGGTTGCCAACTTGGAGATTTATTACCGTGCCCTGAACTTCTACCTTCAGGAGCAGCCATCACTCATTACCGATCTGCTTCAAGCTTTGACCCCTCGAATTGACGTTAACCGAGTTGTGAAGATGTTCGAGAAGTCTGATAACATCCCTCTTATTAAGCCATTCCTTCTGAATGTCCAGTCTCAAAATAAGAAGACCGTCAACAGTGCGATCAACGATCTCTTGATTGAAGAGGAAGACTATAAGACATTACGAGACTCTGTTGAGAATTACGACAACTATGATTCCACCGCACTCGCACAGCGATTGGAGCGCCATGAATTGGTCTTCTTCCGACAGATTGCTGCCAACATTTACCGAAAGAACAAGAGATGGGATAAATCTATTGCCCTTTCCAAGCAAGACAAGCTGTTCAAGGATGCTATCGAGACATCCGCCATGTCTGGAAAGCCCGAGGTTGTCGAGGAGTTGTTGAGATATGTAAGTTACGCTTTGCGCTACTGTGATGAGGTTTATTCTAACCCCTGTGTAGTTTGTCGATATTGGCAGCCGCGAATGCTATGTTGGCATGTTGTATGCTTGTTATGAGCTTATTCCAATCCACGTTGTTATGGAAGTTTCATGGCGTCACGGATTGACTGACTTCACCATGCCTTTCATGATCAACTACCTCGCCCAGCAGAGCTCTACTATTGAGACACTCAAGCGCGATAACGAGGAGAGAAAGTCGCGCGAGAAGTCACACGAGGTCGAGGAGAGTAACGCACCAATTCTTGGAGGTGGTCGATTGATGATTGCCGCCGGACCTGCCGGACGACAATCACCTGCTCCCTTCACAAACGGCTTTGTTCCACAGCCAACTGGCTTCTCGGGAGGGTTCTAAAAGGGGTGATGGAAGATAGGATGTATTAATGACTTGGGCATTTGGGGATTGTATTTTGATTTTCTTTTCTCCAGCAGCGGAGGTGAAAATCCCTCGGAACTTGTGTCATATTTTCGAAATGATGTGTAGTAGTAAAGCTGCATGCGACGGGGCGTTTTTCTGTTTGTTCCGTTCATGAAACCAGGGCATTTGTAACTGATAGTCACGTTCTCACCTTGCTTTACTAGATACTATTAAAATTCTTCATAATGAAATGGCCTTGTGATGTGAGATACAAGTACTGCAGTGAGCTCGGTTACTATAGCTTTTTGGGAGAATTTTAGGTTAGTTCAACTGGTTAGGTTACTTTAAGTTATTAGTTCAGATATTTGGGGCAATTACTCTGATTATTCGAGATCTTTGAAGCAATTACTTTAATTGTTCGAGACCTCTGGAATAATATGGTTTTTTTAGTAGTTCGAGATTACAACAGTACTATTACTTAGTCTCTAGAATATTGTTTCTAGTAAAAAGGTCTATCTAACAAGGATTGCAAGCTTATAAAAATCTAGTATTAAATAAATAAAAAAGTAGGTTTAAACTATGAAATAATTCTCCACTATATCGCTACTACTATTTAGATAAGAGGGTATTAGGTACGAATATACTACCCTGTTTATTAATTCTTTCGTATACGTATTATTACGTGGAGGCTGACCGAGAATCGAAATGTTTTATTATCCTTGAATTATATAGTATAGAGCTTACTTTGTTATTAATACTTATATCAAGAGCACTGATTCCGTCATGAGCTCCTTGTTATTGGGGTTTCATGGGGAACGCTGAGCAAGCAGAGGAAGGGTAGTATTTCCGTTATTAAAGAACTATGTAGACGGTTTTCTACATATAACAGTTGACATGAATGCTAAACAATCAATTATAGTAATGAACGCTTCATAGCTTCAATCTCATTCTATACACCTAGGGAATGGATTGCAAGAGCGTTTACTTGCAACTTCACTGGTGAATACTTTTTTCCCAGGTTCGAATTTCCGTGGTAATCATACTTAGAACAAAGACCAGCTCAAATTCTTCTACGAGAAATTTGTCAGAAAGGTAACAATTTCATCTGTACGAAGTGCAAGAAGAATTTCTTGAACTGTCATGGAGATAGACCGGAGCGCTTCGGGCCGCCTGCCGAGCTTGGGCGCGCTAATGCCGAAACCCTGCGAATCCTTTGGCGGCGCGTATCATTTGGAGGGGGAGCTGGAATTTGTGAAAGCCATACAACAACCCCACCACTCCAGATACCCTCATACTTCAATTGAAACGAACATTTCCATACCAGAATCCCCAAAATTACGCGTGATTTTTGTTTCCCGCATCATCTTCACGCCACTTGACCCAGCGCAATACAATTTGACCTGTCGCGCGAACCAACCCAAAGTTACCATCTCGTCGCAAATACTGAAAATGGATATCGATACCGATGATGATGTCCTCAGATCCCTCGCAGATGGGAACACTATGGATTAGTAAGCTCCGAAACTTGATAGCTAGCTCCGAAACTTGATAGCTAGCTTCGCAAACACTGATAAGCCGCAGTGAACAATGGCCGGCTCTTCTATCGCGCCTCATATGCAGATTAGAAAAGGTATGGCTTCAGACCGCATTCTCTATTCGTTCTAACCTGGACCAGATTGTCGAATCCGAATTCCCCAAACCCGCCTTTCTTCCCTCACAACCGGCCTCTTCTCACCCTATGCCCTCATCCCCTCCAGATCCAGCTCCAGCTCCAGCTCCAACTGAGTCCACAAACGAAGCATCTTCAACCCAAGCAACCCAAGGAGCATCAGAGTCAACACAATCAACAGATAAGGAGAATGCGCCTCCAAAGGTACCACATAGTAATCTGCTACCCAAAAACGAAGAACTTCTGAAGTCCATAATTTCAACACTTAATACCCTCTTCTCGAAATACCCACCTCATACTGTACAAAGACTAGCGGAACTTACTTTGCAACCCAGACAACACTACAAAACTTTGGCTTCGTATCTACATGCGGTTGATAGGGTAGTACATGTTTCCTCTGGTGCCAACACATTTCCACTCCCGCCAGCAATCCCGGATCCCTCCAGCGCAAACGTACTCTCAAATGGAAATGCGGACCCCTTTGCTGTATCATGGGGAAATGCTACGACATCCGTTCAATCTACTCTAGGATCGGACGAGAGTCTAGGCGGTGCTTTACTCACACCTATACCATGGCTCACAAACAAGAGTGCAAGTGCAAACGGAGGTTCCCAACACTCAGGAACCCACTCACCGATGGAGCGAGAAGTGAGGACTGAAAGCACGGAGATGATAGAAGGACCCAATGGACCTGGTGGAGTCGAGACAGTAACAGTATCCGTGAACGGAATTTCTTCAGCTACCTTAGCACAAACAATACCCACTGAAAGCAACAATATGACAACAAATCTACGAGCTGAAGGAGGAGTCACTCAAGGCGAGTTGCTCAGACAAGAACAACGTGCGGGCGTGGTACCTGCTGCCCAATTAACGGGCAATAGAGGAGATCCTGATGGTCTTGGGGAAGAAGATGAGGTTCCTCATGCGAGAGGACCGGAGGAAATTGGATTGGAAGACACGGGACCACAGCCAAAGGGGTCGAGTACTGATGTTGTTGGTCCTAGTGTTACAATATATGGGATTGATGTTGAGGCTGCGATTGGAAGGAAGATTGAACCTGTTGAACCTGTTGAACCTGTCGAACCTGTACAACCCGTTGAGGCGAAAGATGGGGACGGAGATGAGAAGATGAAGGATGAGGGTGAGACGCCGGAGACTAGCAAAGAGGAGGTGAAGGAGGTGAAGGAGGTGAAAGGTGAGGATGAGAAGGAAGTTAAGGAGGATGTGGATATGAAAGAGAGCGGGGAGAAGGTTGAGGAGGAGGTCAAGAAGGAGGGTGATGCTGTATGATAGATGGAATATTTTGCCGACTCGCTGTTTTTAAGCTGGCATGATGAATGAAGATATTCTAGCAGAGTCATGGGCGAGTTTGGAGAGCGCTGTTTTCGCTACCTTGCAATTGGAATACGTGAATCAATACACACTACCTTTCCTCATAAATTTCAAGGAATTTAAATACTCCACTGCTGTGAACACCTACCGGTACCTAATACCACCTGGGATACAATCCACGGCTAGGTATAGTACTCGTACAGCACAACATATGCATCTCCCATTTCACATTTCACGTGCCCTCCCCTCTCCTCCCCTCTCACTTCAATACAAGAGCCTCCAAAAACAAAAAAAGAAGCTTTCCCGCCAAGACTCTAAATCGCGAAATGCAACAGTCTCGTCCTTCTTTTACTGTTTTAGTTCTAGTTCGATGGTGCCCGCTCTAGTTTGCATGAATTTATAACGGGGTGCTAGAGGTGGAGGTGGAGGTAGGTGGATTGATTACTTTAGTGTGGGTTGTGTTGTGTGGAGGGGGTTATGTGGTGGGGATGGATGTGCACTTCCGAGGGATTTTTTGTGGGGTACTCGTAGGTGAGCTGCGTGGGTGTGTGTGGATAGGAGAAGGAATCTTAGGCTCTGTTTACTCAGAATGTTGGACCTCCATATCGTCCCACTTTTCCACGAAAGTAGTCGTAAAAGGACGTCTCCGAGCGCGTTATACTTCCTCTAGCCTAGTGCAAAATCCGTCCACGTACAGATACTATAGATCACATATTTAATCCACTCGATATTACCCCGCTATATCGCTTGGATTGGATTGGATTGATGGGTGTATACGAGAGATACCATAATGTCGATGATAGATGTTAAGAACCTGTTTAGCTCGGAGTAAAATCAAATAATCAGGGTTCACCATACAAATTAGAGTTCTATACTTAATATGAGTAATACCTCGTATCGAATTAATAAATCGTTTAGCTTATTCGTACCTAGGATATTTATAAAATACTACTCCGAAATGAAAGATCCAGCTTTATCCGGAATATCCTAGGTATATAAAAAGTAAATACCTATAGCTTAGGACCCGTATTTACCTATTATTCGCTTATTCCACCTAGCGTAAATACTACTACTTCACTTACAACTTTATATATATAGAGAAACCTAGATATAAGGATACTAGATATAAAGATAACCGCGTTTATATTCTTAAATTTTAGGTCCCGATTTCTTTTAGTATAGTATATATACTAAGACTCTTACTATAAGAATAACCTCGGTTATATCCTTACGAAACTTACCCCTACGAATATCCTTATATCTAGGTTTATATATATATATAAGCACCTACCGTATATAAACCCCCTTCTACAAAGACATCGTAATAAACAAAGAGCTAAAACCATCGGTAGGTAGTAATTCTAGCTATTATCTACATCTAGTACATTCGTTACTTACGTCTTTATAAAATTATACTACTAGAATCCCTTTAATAGATAATCCTATCTAAACGATATTTACCTTAGATCGAATATACCGACCTCCGGGTTATATTCTTCTTTCAATAATTATTGAAAGTTACTTGTTCCAAGGTTTATGAAAATAAGGGTACGCTACCTATCTACCGAATTAACGAAAATTTATTATTCGAAGCTAAACAGGCTTAGTAAGATATGATATTAGATGTAACTACCTATAGGTAGGTAGAGTAGGAGAGGAGAGTGGGTAGGTAGGTATTACATGTGAGAATGTAGCTACCTAGGTAGCTAGTTAGCTAGCCTATCCGTACCTGGATTATTTTTATAGTACTCGTACCCTCGGTATTAAATGACAAGTACTGTATCATCGCTCTAAGCGTGATGAAATAAATGTACTTAGGTACCTGCTCATAGGTAGGAGTACTAGATATAAATGTAGGATACTATCCATTCAAAGGTCTACGCTACCTACCTACTCATCTAAGTAAGCCAGAAAACACCCTCTTCCCCCCACACACCATTAAATCTGGCTGGCTGACTCGCATACCTATACCTGCTATACATCTCGATCCCATAAATAGCATCTCTTTCTTAACCTGTTCCCAAAGGTTAATGCCGCCCATAACACCTGAAGAGAGGGAACTCCCAGAAAACGCCAAACATGCCTGGTCACGCCTTTCCCATGTAAACAAGTATACAACCCGATGACGTTCGCACACACGCCGATCCATAGCCGAAACTCCATAAAGTAATCCTAATTCCATCCCGCAGTTTATAGGATGATTTCCCGCGCATCTTTGGGTTGGCTTTCATTCGGACAGTAGGGACATTTGAATCGGCTCCCTTTACTCAGTTTTTGCAGACTTTCTTTCGCTACTACGTGTCCACATGGCATCATCATTGGTGGATTTGTATCGGTAGTTTGTTCCTTACTGACGGGACATACGAAGATGGCGTGGAAGATCATGCTACTTGGAAGTGCTATTTCCACAGGTAATTCGTTTTGTGTCGTCCATTCTGTACGTTTCTCCTTTACGATTGAAGCAAGTTTCAGTAAAGTGGGTAGAGCGATGGCTCCTGCTGTTGCGGCTATGTAGAGAGGCGATTCGGCGGATAGACCGAGAAGTGAACAGAATTCTCGGGTGAAAGAGGCTGATACGTCGTCCCATGCTGTCAAGGTATCAAAGGTTCGGTAGTATGGTGAATCACGAAGATTCGAGCGGTATATCAAAGCTGCAGATAACTTTCGAATATCTAACAAGTGACGTCCCTGGAAACGCCCAAAATGATCTCGAGCGTATTGTAGAGCTCCCATGTAACCGTTGTGGATGTCGTCTGGGAGACCATTGACTTCTGGCCCTAGAAATAACCAGACGTATTGTAATTTGCTCAATTCGAATTCTAGGTTACTCCCTCGTTTCTCTAGTTCTTCTGAATTCATTCGCGCCCATTCTATGGCCGGATGGAGATTCCGGGCCTTTAGTTCATGGAGTATTTGGTACATGTTTGAGAATCGCTCTTGTAGCTCCCGGGATTTCAACGATGTGAGATCTCCGTCATCTTCTTCGGATGGGTTTGGTGTGCCAACCGTAGGCTCGGGTTGAGGTGGGTATTCTTGTGCTTCTGAAAGGAAGGTAGAGGCGACTGAGAATTGACCTTCTCGTAGCATATGCATAGCAATAGCTCGGTTGATGAGGTTTGGATGGGAAGCGAGAGCATCGTATTCCGTAGGCAGGGCCTTGACTGGAAAATTCTAATCTTGATATCAGCATACTTCGACTCAAGCTTATCCTGACCGCTATTCGTACCTTATTTAACGCCTTTCCATAAGCTTTTAACCCTCGATCCACCTTTGTCAAATCCTCGGTGACCTTGTCGAAGCCACTTTTTATAGGATTTTGGAGTTTCGTTAGGGTGATGGAGGCCGAGTTTGGGTCTGGAAGACTTGTCAGCATACTGTACAGAATGTAGAGGGTATCATTTGAGGCGACGGCAACTTTGGAACTGTTCTCGTCTTTTCAGACAACAGATTTCCAAAAGCAGAGCAATTCTTACCCTGCACTATACACTCCTTTGCCCTCTCCAGCTGTTCAATAATCTTGTCGACATCGGCCATACTCTGGGTCAGAGTGGCATCTTTTCGCAACTTGGCCAGCTCTATGTAGAGGGCGTCCATGGTGGTATCGAGTGCCCCGCTTCCAGTAGTTGACCTGTGGCGTAATGCTTCCAGATTCTCCTTTCTTCGCACTCTCCTGCTGCTTATTCTCTATTTTCCATGCCTGCAGTTTTTCCGTAATTGTTGACTTGGTGTTCGGTGTTTGGTGTTTGGTGGTAGTGGTAGATTGTGGTATGGTGTTGACGTTCTGATGTGGTTCTGCTTGTCAATGAGCGGCAGCGGCAGCTCCCCAGCATCGGGACCTCAGGTCACATTTAGTGGCTCTACGGCCCTCCATGCCCCTGTCGCTACTGAATGAAATGCCCCGGAAAAAGGCGCTCAGTGTGGCCAGGGGCACTACATCCAATGAGAAACCGGGCCCGAGCACCTGCACAACCACCAGAAACCCACATCGCGCGTCACAAGTCACATTCACATTCATCACTGCACTGCCTGAGAGCATCCGGCCGAGCTTGATCCAGCTTTCGGCCATGGCAGGACAGAGTCACTCAACCGATTGTTGACCAAGACAATACTTACACAGCCACTCAACACTTACCTTGAAGTAACACCTTGCACTCCGGACGGAGACATTGTCCTCTTTGTAGAAATCTAATCGGGTCCCAACTCCTCCGTCATGCCGTTCACAGTCAAGCTATCAACGGTCTCGTCACTCGAAATCCAAGGCAGCTGCTACCCAGCTTCAGCACAGCACCCGGACCAGCACCCAACACGATCGCAATATGCTGTCCAGGCTTCCCCTCGGCTATGACCCGCAGATGCATCATGAGGATCGATTGACCCTCTCTCGAACAACCTCCCAGAACAAACCCATCTCCAAAGCGAATGGCGGAGGATCGCCTGCCATGTCGGATCCAGCTTCGCCAGCGAACAGCACACCAAAGTCCCCGCTTATGAAGCATTTCGTCTTCACCGACCCAGTAGCATTCAGGTACGTCTACACGGCTTGCTAGCTTGGGAGATCATGATGCTGATCTTTTGAAAGATATCTCGAAGAAGATCCCGCTACAAAGGTAATCGAGCGACAAGGTCGACTAAGAGGTTACGAGCTATATATAGTCGAGCAATGGGCATGCTCTAGGGTCCATCCAACGTTCAACATAACAACATACACGGGCGACCCAACGCATTCTATTAGTGTCGGTATCTTGGGAGTTCCCTCAGACGAGGAGAAATGGTCTCCGCGACTGCGAGTTTATTTCAAAGCAATCTCACAATTCCATGCCAGGCCAAAGGATACACCTCTTGGTTCGTTGATGGTCACAAATTTAAGCAGTTTCCCGTCTGCTCTGACTGTCATTCCCGTTCCAGATGGCGATGTCAAGAAACATAGGGAGGATTTTATTGTCAATGAAAACTTGAAGAGGTTAGGGTGCTCTGGTAGGTCAGGAATGAGCCTCGCCCCGCCAGCTGGTGCCACCCAAGCCAAGTTCTTTCAACTATATAAAACCAGCGACCGAATACCTTTATACGCGGCTGTTATCGAGCTTGTAAAGCTATGTCAGGTCGCCCTAATGATGTTTGGGAAGTTGGAGCAGGAATATGCAGATGGCTGTCTTTGTGACGTAACCGAAAAGGCAGTGAACGATTGGTGGACTGACATCGGTTCCGAATATTATAACATTGAACCAACAGATGGGATCATGGGACCTACGACCGTGGCTGCATTACTGGGCATGCTCATGGGAGCTCGCAACCGCCTCAATTATTTCGGCGCACCAGTCTCCAAAGACGTGTTTGACGTTTTCAACATGAAACGTGGGATAGCTTACTTTCAGAAAAGCCAAAAAATGGAAAGAACGAGAAGACTGGATCGGCAAACTCTAGCTCGCCTACATCGGCTTACCGCGAAGGCAGCAGCCGGCGAGGCCAGTTGGGCTGTATCGAAAGCAGTCAAATCCACAGTGGCAGAACTCAGTGGCAAAGGAGGAGAGATGGTCATGGGAATGGTTGGTCGAGACAAAGCCGGAATCGGTGATGTTGAGACTGTGGATCTAGATAGGTTCGTGAGCTTGGTACATGGGGAAAGGTCCAAGTGGTTGTGGTATGGCAAACCTAGGCGAAGTGGAGGAGATCCATTTGGAAAATCAGATCCAGTAGCAGGTACTTTGAGTTTCAACAAAGATGAGCATGGGGGTTTTATCTGGTCTCATAGTAAGACCGATACAATATCACCTGATGAGGAGCCTGAGCCACGCAAAAAGGAAAAGGAAAAGGAGAAGGAGAAGGAGAACCCTGATCTGGTGTATTCCCATCGACCATCAGGATCAACGATTAGCATATTGGAGAGCCCTGGAGATCGTGATCCTCAATTACGAAGGACAGTGTTCAAAGGCGTCACGGATAAAATGAGTGATGCTAGATCTGGATTTGGTCGTATCAAAGATGCTGTTGGTCTTCGTGGACACAACAGTCGCCATTCGAAAGATGAAGTTATGGATGGCGAAAACCGATTGTCTGGATATTTCAGTCCCACCAATTCCTCTGGTTTTACTCAACCCACTGGTCTTGTTGCAAGTCCACAACAGGTAGGCAAAACATTTTCCTGGAAACTCACTCCAGGAGAGTACCAAAATGGTCAATCAAAAGACAAAGCTTTGAGTACAGGTGGAATAACGTCTGGTCGCCCTGCGGATGCGTTGATAGAAAATGATGCTCGCCCTGGCATACCACTGGAGCCTGCCCATTCTGAAGAGGCCCAGAAGGAAGCCCAGAAGGTTGAGAGTGACGAAAGATGGGCCGAACAAGTCAGAGATATCAGACGACAATTGGTTGATAATGAACCATCTATCACTGGATCAGTATTTGGTGATGGTGATCTTGAAGGTGCTGTGGTAGAAGCAGAACGCGATCCTGATAACTTCGAGGTACTTCTACGTCGTCGACATAGCATTGATGTTCCTTCTGCTTCAAAGAAACTTCGTAACGAAGCTTGGTGGCCTCGTCAGATGTCATTCACGGATGCTGAAGAGGCAGTGCTAACATGGCAACCTATTGTGGGTAGCGAAGATGCTGTGATCGATGACGATGACTGGTCTTCTCTCCAGAAGCAGAAGTACATTTCAGCAGATCTTAAACATCTCTACGAAAAGATTCTCGATCTTCAAGAAAACATTGTCCCATGGGTCGAGAGCAAAGTTACCAGCGTCGAATCCCTCGATAACGAGGCCGCTGATGACCGCGAAAAGTTTCAAGCGCTATACTACCAACTCAGCGATTCTTACAAAAGCGTCAAACAGAACTCCCAAGATGTCATTGGGGCGGAACGAAGTCACCTTACCGAAGCGGTGAAAGATATCGAGGTCCTAGGCGCGAAGTTGGAATACGAGATTAATGCCCTGGTGGAGAAGGTTCAAGACGTAGAGGATGGAGTGAGTCAGTTTGAACGCCAGGTTTTCGAGTTGGAGGCGAAAGCTCTGGAATTGGAGAATATGCTTCGGACAGAGAGCTGGGCGCATTATATTGTGAGGAGTATTACGGGGATTGGATCGGGGCCGAATATAATTGCCGCCAGTAGTTGAAGAGAGGCGTGGGCGAGTGCGTGTGTACGGATGAGGTTTTCGCGGGGAAGAGTGAGGAGAGTAGCGAGTAAGCATGGTAATAAGCAGGCGTTTTTTGAACATCCAGAGATACCCCTTTGAGCATTTACATTGTTGGGATATATTTAGAGTATTTTATTTTAGCTAGTCACGTCTAATCGAGTCGGGTCTAGGTGGGGAGGGAATAAAATGAAAGGCGGGGTTTTTACTTACTCTGTTGAAGTTCACGAGTTGTGAGGTTGGTCCCCTGAATCACTCAGTGAGTCGAGGTTTTCTTGCTGTCTTGTGTCATGGATATAAAAGTAGAAGCTTCATGGAAGGAATATGCCAACGTTACAGATCCAAATAATGATCTTCAAACTCATGATTCTGTTCGGTTGTGGTGTTAGAGGTATGGTTGAGTGATGAGGTGATAGCAAGGTGGCGAGAGGGGATGTACGTTGTTGGGGTAGGCTTCTGATTCACTGGTACCATGGTAGTATGTAGGTATTGAGTGAAGGGTGGGTGTACGGAATCGAGGGCAACTTGGGGTTCGACAGCAGATGAGATTGTTTTATATAACTAGCTCTATCGACGTCTCTTTAACAGAGATGTGGGAGGGTAGATACCATCACATGACTTCACTGTAAGTCTGTACCTCACCCCGATCGACCAATTCTCGTCAAGCCCTCATAAAATTATAATAGCGACGGTGTAGCCCCTCCCTATATTTATCAACACTAAGATTACTTCTGGCATCCCCTCACGAAACTTGTCAACATGTCTACTCTACATAATTGGAGGCACCAGGAGGCATTCTCCTATTCTCCACCATACCGTATCCTCGTCGTTCGAGATCGTAATTAATGGGATGGTGGACTAGCTATTTACTGTATTAACCGCTGAATGTTTTAGCCTTGTCTCTGTGGTTTTTAGGACATCTACTCGTAGTTTGCGTTTATTCTTGTATTCCTGGGTTAAGCTTCTTGGGGATGTATTTCTTGTGTCTTTGTGGGGTTGAGGGTGCTTTGATTGTAGATACTGTGTCTTAGGCTTCGAACTTGGGGGGGACTGTTGTTGTGTGTATTGAAGGAGGGTAGTCTGTCTGGAGTTTTGGGGGTTTTCGTTGGGGTAGTGGGGATGAAGGAATGTACTTGCTTGCTTGTTTGTTATGATTGGGGTTTTGGGGATAGGCTGAGGGGTTGATGGACTTTTATTCTTCTTCCGCGTCTTTGATTGGGGTTGTGTGGGAGGAGGCTTGGAGGGGTTTTAATGATTAGGCGTTGATACTTGAGCTAATAGTGGGGGTAGTTTGTTGTATTCGGTTTGGATGTTTTGTTGGGGTTGGAGGATGGAGGGATACTGGGAGTTCTTTGCGCTTGGTTCTGCTGGAAGTAGGGGGAGTAAGTAATGATGGAGTATTATTTCTTAGTTTTAGATTGGGGGTTAGTTTTGTGAATGAGGGCTATAGGTGGGGATTGAAAGAGGTTGGTGTCTTATGGTGAGAGAGTCTTGGTATTCTCGGATCATGGGGTTTGGTGAAGATGTTGTTTTTGGTAGGAATGTAAGGTATTTGTCAGTTTTGCCATGCGAAGACATGACTTTATTGCAGAGATTTTGATTGCACTCCTACTAATTTATCGACATACAGACGTGGAGCGGTATCACTGTCTGGTTCATAGCGTCTCTTCAAATCTTTACTCGTATATCTATGATGATATAAGCCAGGTTTACAGTTTATCACTTGCTGATTTGCCTCTTTTGTTTGGGTGTAGTATGAGATACTTTAGTAGAATTGAGAATCACCCGTCCTCTCATTTTTTCCCACGCGAAGATTCTCTGTTGTGCTTCTCCGTCTCCTATGAACCCACTTCTGGGTCAAACCCCAGCAGAAAACTCATGCGAGAGAAATCTATGGGGAATGAGATTTATATTTAAACCCCGGTCACCAAACCATCCAGGTCAATGTAGTCAGTTTAAGCCAGAATGGGCCGAATCCTTCCAGAGACACATCGCTGCAAAGAAGAGAAGACAAGTAGTAAAGTACTAATCGGTTGGCGCGAGTCCATAAGTATAAGTATGGAAAGCCAGGAACCCACTCCCATATAATAGGATACAGACTGTGTGTTCTCATGACAAGTAATTAGAATTTCGACAATGAGATGTTTTCCGGCGGTAAAGCGTTTGTAAAGTGATTTGACTTGTACTGTACTTTCCGGTTTCTACGTCAGGACGATAACTGGGTGATGTTAGGACTCTTTGTTGTTTTCTTGGGAAACGTTATTATATGAGGGATTTGCTATGTGTGTACTGAACCACCGGTTCTCGGTTCTCGTCAGTGTATTTTACGAGAGATGTTATGTGCTAGGTAATGCGGGGGTGCTGTGAAATACCTTTTTTTGGCGGAGTGGAGTGAATGGGTAGAATAAGGAGAGTGATAGGACTTATTTTACTTTACTTAATTAGACTGTCTAATTAACTCGACACTCATTAGGAAGTGATGAGTTGTTTTGTCCACTCTACTTAATCCGACCACCTACCCAACGCAACTCAGCTCTACTCAAGTATCACTCAAGTACTTGGGTCTTTCTTAAATGTATCATCCGTGCATGTCTTTTCGGATTCCAACCACAATCTCTTGATATGAAGTAAGGAAAGATGAATATTTGATCGGATTTGGGTAGTATGCAGATCAAAAATCAGAGTATGAAAGAAGAAGCGCTGGTTTTAGAGGAGGTGAACCAAGTATCGAGAAAGCGAAGAGATATGAATGCTGTATATAAAGAAGAAGAGAAGGTGGTGAATATTGGCAGGGATAGAGCAAGCCCACGAGAGAAATGATCATGGCTGTGGAGGTATTAGAGGTTAACGACATTAGCATCTGGGTTTCGAGGGGCTTGGGGAGCTCTGGTGCTTGGACGGAAGCGGAAAGGTTTTATCTACTGTTTGTTTGTGAGAACGCCGAAAACAACTATTAGAAGCATCGATAACAAGATATTGTTTGATAGCAAGAGAATACTACTGCTGTAAGCTCATTTGGAGAACAACATAGGAAACTATATGACCAGTGAGTTCCGGACTGAGACCTGGTCAAGTACGGTAGAGACACTGTAGCCAACCTCAAAACAGCCGAAACCTGATCTAAAAGCTTTGGAAAGATATTTTCGATAATCTTAAAGCAGTCAAGAATCTCATGACAATTTCTGGCTTTATATCATATTCAATGCATCCATATGTGTATTCATGATCAGTGCGGTTTTCTGGTGGAACTTTTGAGTCTTGCCATCTTGGAGATGGGCATTAGTTCATCGTAGAAGAAGCAAGTAGGTGGGTGAATATGGCGAGCATGAGCGTAGGTACTACCCCGTAGGACCAATCATATATATCCCTCTCTTAACCTTTGTACTACTTTTCCTTCCACTCCCTTCTCCAAAAGACGCACCTCCGCCTGGTCAGACACAGAATTACCTCAATAAGGCACTGACTGTTCTGCCAATGGGACATTAGGGTTAAATTTCAGTGTATTCTACTCGTTGGTTAACAAGACTCTGCTTGATTCAGAATATAAAGAAAATGAGAATAGTGAAAGAGGTATGGGTCCGCTTCATATGGTATGTGATACTTGATTTGGTACAAGTGCTGTAATACTGCGTCTATTTGAATTATGTAAGTTTTCAAGCCCACCGAACCGTTTATCGTGTACCCATTCGATCTTCTACTCATCTCTTCAAGCTCAACTCAAGCAAACCCGTCCCATACCGTTGCCAATTGCCCAATCTGCTCAGACCCAGATTGATCCCCGAACATTAAAAATCCCACAGCGTCCCGAAAGCATGTAATCCAGCTTTACCACAAAAAGTCAGCACAGTTCCTTTCTTAGCCATCCACTTGCCCTTCAGCATAGGCAACACGTGGTAGAAAACTTACCAGCACGACACCCCTGCATCATCTCATCATTCCCCTTTATGTTACTCGTAATGAAAATGACTTCAGCCCCCCAACTTTCCCACGTATCTTTCAACAATTGCACTGTATCTGGGCGTCCACCACGTTTCTTGGAGTCCCAAAGGATCATACGTTCGGGTTCGATGTAGGAGTGGATGAGGTTCGTCATTGTTGAGCCGAAGGTCTTTTCTTGGTCGGAGCCGATCCAGATTAGGAACCTGTTGGAAGTTTTTAGCTGAAATAGAATGTGGAAAGGGGAGTGGAAGATTACCAGTTGGGACTCTGTATACAAGTTGATAGTGCAGCCCCTATTCCTGTACCAGTGCAGATTCGAATTCCTCGTTTGAACATCGCGGATGCGTGACCAACACCAGCTAGAGATATCAATATACATCCCTTCAGTCGTTGAGGGAAAAGGGAACCACGACCTACCAAACTTCAATTCTCTAGTCCACAAAAACTTAGGCGGATCAGCAACAAGCGTCTTGGTAAAATCCCCTTGAACACCACAAATCATATAATGATAAGGCGACTTTGTCCCCTCGCTAATGATTCCAAAGGCGTGGTACTCCATGATCGAGGTATGACTGATCCTTCCCAGAAGACCTTGTTGCATCCCACGATTGAAACGGAGAACGGCGACTTTAGGCGATGGCTGAAAGTTGTTATTGAATGGTTTGGTGAAGCAAAAGTATAGAAGGGACTTACGATTTCTACTTCTACTGGCACTCGGCGTAACGTACACCAAGGTATGAGAACACTACAATCGTATTAGTAAGATGAGCGAGATTATTCTCAGCTTAAGGGAGGTCATACAAGACTGTCATGAATACCGCGAACCAGAGTTCTTGTAACCCGATCAGAGAGTGGGCGTCCAATCTCCATTTCCCGAGTTTTATATCATAGATGTTCCCCAGAATGACAAAACACCAGGTCGCCTAAAACAAATCAGTACCGAAGAAACCTGCAACCCAGAAAGAGTGTGAGAGGGATGGAATACCGCAAGACCCAGCCAACCAATAAATCGATGATGGCCCTCAAACACGTTATGATGGTAACTGAACAAATCTTAGTTCCTGGTTCAATCTCGAAATAAGGAGATTGAAACACCAACTTGCGAATCCATGGAAAGGCGCTGAGGACAGAGATGATGACAAGGAGATTTGTGATTACCCCAGTAGCAATCACGGCATAATGTGTATGGGCGTAATGTCGTATGATGTCGACGATTTTGTATACCAGCCATCTCGTCGTTAAGTCAGTTTCATCATTTGATAACCACTGACAATGGGGCTAACTCACGCAGTGCCGGAAAGTGCACATCCTGAATGAATTCCCCCGACGTGCTGGAGAATCGAGGCGACCGCGTATTTGATCCTCAAAGGAGCCCACTGTACGAGATTATATTAGCACTCTTTACACATGATAACGGAAAGAACATACACTTCTCAGTCCATGGATGGAAATGATATACAGAAACCTGATAAACATCTCATTCCTCATCAAAATCGCACACAGAAGATTGCCGAGCACCAAAGCACCAAGGTGATTATCAGCATAACGAAAGCGACCCAGCGCCGCCAGAATAATCCCCATCAAATTGAGCAACGTGACGAAGGTAAAGAACTTTCGATAAGTATTGAACCAGAGCTGGAATAAGATCCATCGATTGGGACGCTTCTTATTATCCGGATTTGGAACTGCAACTTTGGTTGTTTGTTTGCCTCCCACTGGACCCAACAGAGACAGTACAGGTACACTTGAGGATGGGGTGATGCCTTCGCAAATTGGTGATATAGGCGAAAGACATGCTTGAACTTGGATTCCGGAATTCGTTTTCTCGTCGCCAGTACTGAGAGGAGGTAGCTCTTGCAGTCGTATTGCGTTAGCTGAGAGACCTTTTTCTAAATCAGTGGAGTCAGGACTCTGGCTGCCGACGTAAGTGACTTCGCTATGAGGCCATTTCGAAGACATTTTCAACACTTTTAGACCCAAGACGAGTGATAGAATAATAAGGGGTTGGATTGCGAAACACTTTTGCTTCAGTGTTTCTGAAAAGCGAGTGTAAGTGGTTTGAGGGATCAGGGTGGCCGTCTGCAGCGTTTAGAAGAAAAAGGACGTACGGGTGGCGTTTACATTGAAAACTTGATCATAGTCATGTGGAACCAGACGCTCACAGAATCCTTCGGTCCATTATATACAAAGTTGCCGATGTCGTATATTAAAATGGCTCACGACGGGTTCCAACAGAGGTAGAATGTTTTGAAAATTCGCTAAACCAATACCGAAATTGTTAGGTGGGGCCCGGCTTCGAAAATGTCCATGTGCGATGAAGACTCAGCTGCACTAACTGGACACCTGTGGGATCGGAAATCAAGGTCTTGATTTGAAAGGCGTATGTACCGACCTCTGCCTAGATGGTTAATCAAGATATAATCCGGGGCGTTAATTAACCCCGGATTTATTATTGATTAACCCCAGATTCATAGGCGAGTTCGGCACGTCTAACAGTTGGCACGTGGGGGCCAACCCATTGGGTTTCTGTGAGAAGAGCCTAATATGATCGAACGATGACTCGGTCGAGAGGATAGTAAGCGCTTTGTTGATGGAACTTGTTTCATTTATCGTATAAGAGATATGTAGCAAAACGTTTCGGTATATCCACTTCCAACAGAATAATGGGAAAAGAGATTAGACGTCCAGAGTATTCAAGTCATTTTTAACGTTGAAGCTGGATGTCACGACTCGACTGACCTCTAATTCTCTAAAACTCACTGGATGTCGATTGCCGATGGCCATCGGATTCAGGACACCAAAGCGACCATCATATTCTTCTTTCTTCCCAGATGATATGCAACGGTGCGAATGCTATCGCTGCTCACGCACTTAAAGATAAGATAAGAAATCTAGAATATCATTCCCTCCACGGAGAATGAACTCGCTTGGCGCACTACCAAAATCGATATTGTAGTTTGCAAAGAGTAGTGATCTACAGGTCCAGCACCACATCATTCTCCTGTAAACCGAAAAGACTCATCACCCTCGGAAGAATACTTACGGTGGTATCTCGACGGATTCCCGGTATGGTAGACGTAGATCTCAGCTTTTGGGTATCTGAGAAGTCGATTATGGCGACACTTCAAGCAGCAAGTGTTTCCAACTTCCCGATGTACCTAGGTATTTGTTTATTTCCTAGACGCGGGAAGCGCTGGTAAGTAAAGTTTATGCGAATACCCAAACCCTTCCACGGAGCACACATACCAATATGCCTCTCACGTACAACAGAAAGTCGTGTTAAGTCAACCTCGTATCGTCCCATCTTCCAAGAATCTATCATAATTTCATCATCTAAATCCAGAGATTCCAAGAAGCATATACAATACAAGAGAACAACCACCTTCTCCGCATCCGGAACGTCAAGGATTTACGGAGAATAATGAACATTTTACTAGTAAAAGAAAATATAGGAGTTATATAAAACACGTGTTCCTCCCCTCACAGTTCTCTTTAAAATATTAAACTTTTCAAGTTAAATCTTAACAATAACTACCAATTTAGTCATCGTCGTCTCACAAAGCCCATATATTCCACAGAGAAGAGATGTTTCAGGGCAATTTCACCAATTGTTTTCTTCTTAAATTAAAAGAGGTAAACAGTAGCTCAGGTTGAACCCCTTTCTGTTTACGTTAAGTCATTGAGACTTTGCCTTAAACTTAGTAGAACCAACGAATTAGAGACTTGAAGCAAAGAATCTAGCGATGTGGACTTTTGTTTCTTCACGCATAAGGGTTGTGACGATGTTAAGTTTTAACTGTCCTCATAAATCATATCCAAAACAAGCATTCTTGGTATAGAAATTATCCATATGTTTGCGGAGCCTTACCCAAACAACTGAACTGAACTTGTTAACATCCCCACTCAACAACCCAACATCCATAAACGATCAGGTAACAACACCGAACAGCTATCCTACTATTCCCTGCAAGTCCACAGGTCCACAAGCCCACCAGCAACCTCCATCCCCTTATCCGCAAAAAGAACATCCTCCCTTATATCGCTACTTTCGCCATCTCTTCAACCATCACTTCAACCATCAGATCCACAGATCCACACTCCCGCGAAAACCGCGTATCCTCCATTCACTCACAATAGCAATACAGAAAAACCTTGATACTAGGATATGGGTTTTGCTAGTATTCGTAAGGATATAACCGAGGTTATCCTTATGGCAAGGTTCTTGGCATAGGCGACGACAAAGTTATATACTAAAGTATTAGGGATAACCCTATATATAACATAGTTGTCTAGTAATATAAGTATATTATATATAACTGTTTAATTCTTATTAGCAAGTTCTAGTTAAGTACTAAAAACTCTAGGGTATTGTATAAATTTACTAATTTCTAGAGAATTTTATTACTTCTAAGGATATAAGCAAATTTATTTTAGGTACTAATAAATTTTTAGGACCTAAAAAATCTAAGGATATCCTTTAATCGAGGTTATCCTTATAACCTACCAAAGAAATCGGGACCGGAGGATTTAAGGATTTAAGCGAGGTATCCTTATAGCGCGTATCCTAGTATCGAGGTTTTTCTGTACTGTAATCCCAACCTTCTTGAGAAACGAAGCGAGCTTAGTCCCGGTTCCACTCAAAGAGGAGGATTATCGCTAGTAGTAGGACCTCAAAATTTGAGCTCCTTACGCAAATTTGAGACAGTACCGAAATGTCTTTCTGCTGCGCTATTTTGTAATCAGATATTCATCACGCTACCTAGCCTTTTATTTACCGCCGATTGCCTCTCAAGTCGTCTTTCTCTTTTTTTGCTAGGTAGATTAGGCACTTGACTATAGCGAGATTGGATTGGACTGTTAGAAGAAGCTGGTGAGTTTTTTTCAGATGTAAGAAATATGAAGGTTGAAGTTAGAAGGTCTTATCAGGCAACCGCCAACTCAAGTAATATTCTCTAACTACCTAGATATCTCCTCTATTCTAAACTCAATATCTCTTATCTAGAGAATCCCACCGTCCCAAGAAAGACGAGGATCTTAATCTCATAACAGCAGCTAGTAACAAACCCTCATTCCCAGAACTCCACATTACTTACCCACTACCCCCACAACCTCCATGAACGCACACGCGGTCATGCCGGGTAAGACCCTACAAAAAACCCACTCTCGCGGCTTAAAAATAATGGAGTCCGAGGGTAAATTATACGGAAAGGGTATAGGTACCCATATATACCCGTCTTGTCGTCGTGCGTGCACGGTCCCTCCGCATCTTCGTATCATTCCGTACTCCGAAGAACCGATATGGTGAAAGTAGGTAATGAACCGAGTTCTCTGAATGGTAGCGAGAGGGTAATGATACCCGTCAAAACTCGACATCAACATCTCAAGTATGGATGCCTCAAGTTTGAAGGAGGTACTGAAGACTTGCTTTCCCAGGGGATCGATGTGGCGAGTTCTGAAAGAGGGCCCTGAGTTGATAGTATAATCCGCTTTTACTGTCCTTTTGAATGTACTTCGAGTTCTGACGTACCCTAAAAGACCATTAGTAGAGGCAGTTCCAAGGGATTTTAGTATAGTTCAGGCTTAAAGACACTCAAACTGGACCATAATGTCGAGTTTTAATGGTAATATGAAGTTTACCAATTCCAGTCGGGGTTTGGACGAGGCAAAGGAAGGAAACGAAGAAAAATATAACTATCAAGCACCGCTGTCTAGAGAAGCTTTATCGAGATGGGATCCCGATAATGCGGTGCGGTACATCCAAGCAACCTCATAGAATAATGATCCAAAAGGAAAGGTCTGGAACAGAGTAGTGTTGGATTAGGTTTTTGGACGGATTAGGGCTGAGTGGCGAGGGATCTGCGGACCTTAATCATGCCTCCTGCCACGGCCGTTAGGGAAGGCGTACGTAAATTGAAAACAGGAATCGTGACTTGCTCACGTGAGGAAACCCGAGTCCATTCAGTCAGAGTTGACTGCTTCAACGAACAGGAAAAGTATAGGAGAAGAAAAAAGAGAGGGAAATGATGACGGTACGCCGTAAGAAGTAGCACACGGGGCTATTCATCATGAAATGGTTTAGCCGTGAAAATCCTCTGATCTGCAAGGCGAAAAGAAAAAAATAACACAACTGTACAATAACGACAAAACATACCGAACCACACAGGTGGGAATTCCTGAATATTGCTTCACCGGCAAGTTGAAACATATTCCAGTTATATCGCTGTTTCGGCGGATTTTTGTGCAGCCATATAATGATGGGAAGGCTGAAAACGGTGTTACATCACCATCTCACCCCAAACCCACCGTGGCTGGCGACTTGCGCCTCCCTTCATAACAAACTCATGTGGGGTGTTCGTACCACCTCCGGCGGCTCTGAAATGATGACAGTCCGTAGGTGTGCAAGTTGATATGCTTTTGAAAGGTGCTGCCACTTTTACATCCGAAATGAAAAAAATTGGGCGAAGCCTGCTGTCTTGGGTTGCTTTGCATATACATGATATGTAATCGGCAGTCTGCCGCATATCATACACAAGGAAGATGCAGAATAGGCGGTGCCCTCGTATGACAGGTACAGTGGCACAGATCAAGTTAAGCTCTCGGTGGGAAGGATGAAGAGATGGTGCGCAGGAGGAAGAAGCACATGTGTATCGGTAAGTAACTATCCGCCGTCACGTTTACTAGCCTGGGTGTCATGGCGTGGTTGACGGTTGTATTTCTGTTGTGGTCCAATCTTGCAAATATGATCAAAAGGGGAGGACAAAAGGCGTTCCGGAGGGAGTAAGATAAGAATATGGGCTGCTTGGTTGGGATGGCTGGGTACTAAGAAGGGGGTGTGGGGTCCCCTCGGTCGATCCTTTTGATCCATGGCATTACTCTTTTGAAAACATGCCGGTTCCGGTCACGAGTATCTCATGCCTGTCCATAGGATACAAAAAGGTGTGCGGCATCTCGAAGGATCCAGGAGTTTTAAGAGCACCAAAGAATGGAATAGTCGTTTGCACCTCAAACTCTGTTCCAAACCTCACGCTCGGAATGGCTTCTGGTCGCACGTGGCGTATCACGGGTGGCTGGCATCCATCTTATCACTCCAGGCACCTCGATAAAGTCCCTCGTCTCGTCTTACCGTAACATTCGAGGTTCCAATGATCCTTTGGTGTTACTCTCGAAAGTCACGTGCCACAAATGTCTGAATCTCTGTTGGATCACCTGAGATGACGCCCGGAAAACTGGGCTGAATGGCGAACAAAGCTAGGTAAGATCGTCCCCGTACTTGGTTTCGGTTTCACGCGCTTAGCGAGGAAAAACGGTCCAATATTTTCTTCACCCGCTATCAGCCCAAACCGCCACACGTAGCCACAGGGCCATTCGATGAGGCAAATGAGGGCAGCTACGCGAGGGCCCGGCACGAATGCCACAACGATACTCGTCGTGGAGAGTGGGATGTGCAGACGTTGTTGGCAGCGTGATAAGTCAAGAGGAGGTATTTCGAGAGCTTTGAAGCTTTCTGTGCGTGGCGGATGTGTCCTTCTTTTTGACCTGGAATGCAGGCCAGGAGTGGAGACGAGGGGTAATCGACGGATGGGATGAATTATGTACTTCTAACACCCTATCATGGGTGCTTTGATGGAGCGACTTTGAAATGCTACCGTATCAATTCCCGAAACCCTAGTATACCAATAGGTATGGGATGGGACATCTAAAAGGAGCTTTACAATATCTCTTCTGGCTATAATGGGGTATCAAAGAAATTCTGGATAGAGGAGCTCGACCGAGTTCCTGGTACTGGTTCAAGAGGTACGGAGAAGCACGCTGTTTGCTGCATTGATCACCACGCACATGAGGCCGTGGCCACCAACAAAAGGCACCCTTAACCTTCGACAGGCTGGCATCAACCAGGACCGAGAGAATCCCAAAGTGGTGATAGATCATTCATACTTTTTGGTCCGATATTTTCCCGTAGTGGTGTCTGACGTTTCTTCGCGTAGCAGTTTCATGTTTCCATCTAACAAGCTCTTTTCGCACGAACCAGGAGTCGAGATGCGGGGAAAGGAAACGGAATAAAAAAGATCGATGATGGAGACGTTCCAACGTGCGTGCATGCTGCCAAAGCGCCGAATGTTAATCGTTGGGATCAGTGAGATGACTGACTCATGATCGAAGGCGTAGGATCGTGATATTTGCAGTTGGGTAGTGGTCATCTGTGGCCACTGGCCAGGAGTGAGGCTACTCAGCTAGCCCAGCGTAAAGAACAGCACAGCACCACCGCTTACTTTGCTCGCCTTGTAGGCATTCAGGCATTCAGGCATCGCTCGTTCCTCGACTCTCGACCCTCGTCTCTTTCGAGCAGTATCTCCATCCAAGTCGGAAGAGGGAAGAGGGGCGCTGACAGACATACTTGGCGCATGGCTAGGATGTTCGGGATGCTTGAATCTTGATTGATGCAGTTCGCCTGTTTCCTTGTGCCAATTTCGCCCGTGGGCGGCATGGCATGGATGATGGCGGCCAGGGCCTTCCAGACTTCCCTCCCGTGCACATCTGCAGCTCATCATCAACTGCGGCACTACTCAATGAGCAGCGACGCCGACGCCTCTTGCTTGCCGAGTGGGCCCGAGCCAGGGGTTGTATGGTGTTGGCAGATGGCAGTGATGGATTAGGCTGGTGATGGCGCAAGGACGAAAGACGTTGCATTGGCTCGTAGTGCTTGTATTGTAGTGCTCGTACGAGTACTGCACTCGAGTAGATGCTAGAAGTATCTGTTTTCCAGTGTAACCACAGAAAAGTGCTTGGTACGGGTGTTCTGGCTTTTCTTTTTCTGACGTTCCCGTAGAGATTTGGTGCTGTGTGAACTCGCACTGGTTGTTGCTTGCGGTGCGGTGCGGCTCCTCAGGCCTGGGAACGGTGACTCCTTCGCAAAACTCAAAGGGACAAACTCGTGCGACTAGTTTCTGATGCATCGCACTGCACCATCCACCAAGGAAGCATTTTCTGGCCAATTTTCATGTGCCTTGAGAATCTCGCATACAGTAATAGATCCTGGTGATGCGAACTTTTAAGCATCTCTGCGCGGGCGATTTAAGAGAACGAGAAACTTTCCTAGTCTCAACGCTTGGTGGCCGCGATGACGGGCAGCACAGACGGATGGAATGGATCATGTGAGTGGAAGGGCCTTGAATGTGAAATAAAACAGTCGACGCATGGATGGTGGTTCGCTTAGAATATCAAACGTGTTTGCCAACAACGAGAGTTGAGAGCTGGGGCTGGATATGAGAATGATGAGATTGGTGTCGGTGTCATTGTCGTATCTGTACCTCCATCCAATCTGCGGCATCGATTGCCAGGAGGCGGAGATGGAAAGAATTGCTTGCAGACGATTGAACTGGAGAAAACCACGAACACGGAGAATCAAGGGAATTGATATTAGAGCCTTCCAGAGACTCTGAGGCACTTGTAGCAGAATCCGAAATCAAGGAAACGAACGAGTTCCTCTCGTAAAATATGGAAAGATAGAAGAATATAAATATCCGAGAAGATCTGGTGTGGAGAGTATGGAGAGGACTTATTTTTAACCTTCACCAAGTAGGTTAAGTACTCCGTCTCCGTACTTCAGGTACTCCATAAGCGCTTCAACGATGACGGATTGGCTTGGCGGGCACGCGGAAGGAAGACCCCCGACTTTGGAGCGGTGAAACTGGTCTAAGCCCGAAAAGGCAGCTTTTTTTAAAATCCGGCTGTCTCCACTGTTACTACTCCACTAAGCCTTGTACTTTCTCTCATTGGCTCTGCTGTGTTGTGAGCTTGTCTCGGCGCCCATGCCAGGCCTGGTTAGGCAGGTTATGCAGCACGTTTCTGCTAATCGCAGACTTTCTAATGGACGCCAGCTCGTGCCATCAGCTGGAGATCTTGGACGACTTCAACGTCACTATACTAGTAGAATTGGCTTGATGATAAAGTGACGTGCTGCTGCTGGTGGGAATCGAGGGGAAAGAGGCGCGAAATGAGCACGAGATACGAAATGGGCAGAAATTGGAGAAAGGGTACGCGGAGAAGAGATGAGTGCGTGTGCAAGAGGTTCTTATTGTACCAGAACTTTATGGCATTAGTCTCAAAACATCTCTATGCCATACAGATCCCATGGTAATGTTACAGCGTGCTTCTTCCACCGCAAATGTCCTAGTCGCTGTCCCATTACATCCGAACCTTTCTCTCGAGTTCTTCATGGAATCCTGGAACATTTCTCATCTCATCACCTTGGAAGACGTCTTCCCATGCCAACTCGCAGTCTCTTCCGCGAAGAATATCTTCGTGCACACCACCTGATGGAGGTTAGTATTTTATCATCAAGCCACGTGGGGACCACAATCCACACATACCTCTAGCCGAACCTCCTAAAACGGCTGGTCTCCAGCTGCCATCTCTCACAACCTTCAACTCCATACCCCGACGAATTGGCTCTGCAATCCCAAAGGTACGTCTGAGACCTTCCATCTTCAATGCTTCCTGTGTGGCCTCCCAATTCTTCAATCGAGATTCCAAAGGATGCGAGGAGTCGGGGGCGCTGGTGAGCGAGGTGGAGGTGGTTGGTCCCACACCGGCGCGGAGAGTATCATGAAGACCTGGCACTGAAGGAGCCCCCAGAGACTTTGGTTGCAAGTGAGAGTGGGAGGTGGTATGGGAAGAGGGGGGTGCGATGCGCATGGCCTGAGGGTGGTTAGCAAGACGAGGCTGAAGGAGACGGCCATGGGAGGCGGTGATATGATATGGGTGTCAGGGCTGAGAGGATAAGAGACTTACCATCTTGAGTTAAGGAAGAGTGCGCTGTAGGGTGTTTGGTTTGATGGACAATGGTTGATGTTGACGTTGATGATGGATAGCGGTGCGGTAGTGGTGTTGGTTCCGACGAGCCTTTTTCGTGGTGTTGATGGAGCTTCGTTGTTCTGCTTCGTGGAGCTTGTTGCCTGGGGCGTCCGGGCTGGCCTTAGCGAGGTTCTCCGTCCTCCTCAGGGCCCGCCGCCCGCATTCTCTAGGATGTCCATACTATAGTGCCCCATTAGGTTTAGCCTATCCTTCCCCTGTGCGCCTCTTTTTTCTCCCGGTACGTGCCACGAAGTTCAGATTCGTGTCCCACTTTTACCATTGGCGCTAGTGGTGGGTAAGGTGAGTTGCAACCGCCCTAAAGACCTTCTGATGCCTCCCCAATTTCTGCTTTCCGAATCGTATCCCGCCGACCTTTGAGCACTGGCACAAGTCTGCAACCACCACCACTCCACCGCGCGCCCTCCACCAGCGGCCGCTCCATTGATTCTTGAAAAGCTGCCGGGATCCGCATTGTATTTTCCACTTCACGCATCCCTTCTCGCCTCCCATTTGCTTCCATCGATTCGCTCGGAATTTTGATTTATATCTTCAGAAGCGGGTGAATTGCGCCGCTGGTTGATTGCTTGCTCTAACCGTCTCGACCGAGATCGCGCTTCGGAAGAACACGATCCCACAACAACATCATCGTCATCACCATCACCATCAACAAACACTTGCATAATTCTCTCCATACCCCTCCAGATACCCTTCATATTGATGCGAGCGTAGATTGTGCCCAGCTTGCAGACCATCGCGTGTGCGCTACTGACAACGGCGCCTCGAGCCTGGTTGCCAGCGCACACTACATTCCTTTAGTCGCATCTTCCACAAACAATTACCAGCAATGGCAAGCCATCATCCCTCTCCTCCTGGAGGCATTCAGATGCATCATGGTCCTCCAGGCGGTCCTCCTCCCCCTGGAATGCCTCAACAACAGCCACCACAAGCTTGGCCTGCTCCACAGACCATGGCTGCGATGAACGAGGCTGTCTGGCTGCAAATTGGTAAGATGATTTGTATCAACCTTTAAAGAACACATTCACTAACGCGCTTGACTAGGAAGCTTTGCCGAATTGATGGGTTCGCTTGATGAAGCAATGGGTGCTTATGAACACGCCTTGCGCTCCAACCCCCGATCGATACCCGCTTTGAATGCAATCAGTGCTATCCTTCGCACCCAAGAGCAGTTCCCCAAAGCTGTCGAATATCTTCAGAATATCCTGAAATTGGATGGAAATAATGGCGATGTGTGGGGCAGTTTAGGTGCGTCTATCGTGCTAACAGTGAATGCATCCCGTCGTAACAAAAAACTCACCTTCTCTACAGGTCACTGCTACTTGATGATGGATGACCTTCAGCAAGCATATACAGCCTATCAACAGGCTTTGTATCATCTCAGAGACCCAAAGGTTCGTTCGTCGTCAAATTTGGGTGGGACTGGTTCTAATAAAGCTACTCAGGAACCAAAGCTTTGGTACGGTATCGGAATTCTATACGATCGATATGGCTCCCTGGAACATGCCGAAGAAGCATTCTCCCAAGTCATGCGCATGCAGCCAGATTTTGAAAAAGCCAATGAGATTTATTTCCGACTTGGTATAATTTACAAGCAACAACAAAAATACCAACAAAGTCTCGAGGTACTGTGAAACACAAAAATTCGGGTGTATGTGATGTTTACTGATGGACTCTAGTGTTTCCGATACATTGTTTCCGTTCCCCCGACCCCTCTCACTGAAGAAGACATTTGGTTTCAGATTGGCCATGTCCATGAACAGCAGAAGGATGTAAGTACAGGAAGACCACAACATAAACTCCCCACTTCTGACACTATCCGCACAGTATGACAATGCAAAAGCAGCCTATATGCGCGTTCTTGACAGAGACCCAAATCATGCAAAGGTGCTCCAGCAGCTTGGTTGGCTGCATCATCAGCAGAGCAACAGCTTCACCAGCCAAGAGCGTGCTATTGAGTACCTCGAGAAATCTGTCAGCTCAGGTGAGACTCGTGAAAATAACCCGTCCTGCATTGTACACGCTAACACGTGGCAGACCAAGGTGATGCACAAAGCTGGTATTTGCTTGGCCGATGCTACATGTCACAGCAGAAGTACCCAAAGGCGTACGAGGCCTATCAGCAAGCCGTCTATCGAGACGGACGGAACCCAACATTCTGGTGCTCGATTGGCGTCTTGTATTACCAGATCAACCAGTACCGAGATGCGCTTGATGCCTACTCCCGTGCGATACGCTTGAACCCGTACATCTCCGAAGTCTGGTACGACTTGGGTACTTTGGTGAGTTTGCGGCAACTTAACCCTCAAGGTTGCCAGAAATCTAGCTAATCTTTTCACAGTACGAATCCTGCAACAATCAAATCAATGATGCGTTGGACGCGTATCAACGTGCAGCTGAACTTGATCCAACAAATGCACATATCAAAGCTCGTCTTCAATTGCTCCGTAACGGCCCCACTAATGGACTTCCTATTCAAACAAGTGCACCACTTCCACAAGACGTTCATCCTCAAGCTTACCAAGTTACTGGAGCTGTTGGCCCCCCAGGTCCTCAATGGGGAAGCTCTGCACCGCAAGCACAAGCCCAAGGTCCACCAAATCCTGTTAATGGATGGGGTAGTCGACTCGCTGAGATTCATCCACAACCAGCAAACCCGTTTGATCCAAGAGACGCTGCTCGAGGTCCTCCTGGTGGCGGTGGCCCAATTCCTCCATTGGCACGCGGACCTAGTCCAAGACAAGAACAACAAATGAGACCGTATCCAGGACCCGGAGCTGATCGTGGCCCAACCGGCCCCGGTCTTGTTGGCCCTGGCCAGCTTGGAGGTTTGAATGGTTTGGGTCCTCAAAACGGACCTGGAGGCGGACCAAATGGTGCCCAATCTGGTCCACCACCGCTCAGTAGACGTTCACCACCTCCTCGGGAGCATCATCCGGGCATGGGTCCTTACTCTGGACAAGGTCTTCCACAACCTCCTCCTCAACAGACACCTTCGCAGCAGCAACCACCACCTGGTCCTCCAGCTGCCCTTCAACGTGTTTCAAATCCCAACTATGTAGCAGCAGGCCCAAGTTCCAACGTCTTGCCACCAGCACCAAACCAAATGAATGGCCCTGGACCAAGTCAAGGCCCTCCACCTGGAGCTGGTCCTCTTCCACCTTTCGGACGAGGCAATAGCCCAAGGACTGAAGTACGGCCTATTCTAGACAACAGTAGAATGGCATCCCCGAAATCTGGCTACCCACACCAACAAGGATACCAACAACATCATCCCGATATCTCAGCTCCTGCTGGTATTGAAAGCGGGGTTCCTCCTCCAGCATCTGCTATGGTTGCCCAGCAAGAAGCTGCAGCTGAACGCAACGGCGAAAGACCTCCTTCAGTTGGACCAAAGAGAATGCGAGAGTGGGAAGACGAGCAGCCGTCAATGAAGAAGCCAGCATCAGACGAGGCTCGAGCTCGAATGGATGATATGAACCATCGTAGACCATCTACACCACCTCGTGAGCAGCAACCATTTCGTCGCAATTCAGAGGAAATTCGTCGAGAAGATATGCGACGCGAGGAGATTCGGCGTGTTGACGAACAAAGACGTTTAGGTATACTTGACGAACAACGTCGTGCCGATGAGCAAAGACGGGTCGAGGACCAGCGTCGTGATGAGCAACGTCGGGCAAATGAAAACTATCATCCATCCGAAGCAGCTCACCACCCACCTACGCACGCACTTCCGCCGCCCAACGCACTCCCACAAGTCAATCATTTACCAATGCAAGGCCCTCCGGGACCACATGCACCTCATACCCCTGTACATGAACAACTACCCCCGCCTCCAGCGCAGCAGCCTGTACCAAAAGATTATGCCGTTGATGAACGTGAGCGTGAAAGGGAACGGGAACGTATGGAACATCCTGCGCCCCCACCTCCCCCACCACAAGTTGGCGAACCTGAAAGAGCTGCGCGAAAGATGGATGTTGACGAAGATTATGATGATGACGGAGAAGAGGATAAGAAGGGAGGAATTGTATCAACTGCTGGATCTGGTCCTGGTTCTGCTTCAGGTGAGACAAGGGTTGCTACAACATCTCCTACTGGCGTTAATGGTCATGCAAATGGGGTGGTCAATGGATCGACCAAGGTGGAAGCACCAGCGTGATCTACTAAAAAACCTTGGTTCGGTTTTTCCTTGGGAAATGGGGAGTTACAGTTTTACGGTTGTACATGGGGTCCGATTCCACAAACTGTACAGAAGCAAATCCTATTAAATGTTCATATTATGTGGTTTATTGTAATGATTTTCTTGGTTTGAATACGTCCTATGCCTTCATGTACTTTCGCGATCCATTCCCACCTGCCCATAATATGAAGGATATTAATTTCACCTTTGATAAAGCAGATTTTTGCCCATTCAATTTTCTTTGTGTGCTTTGGATGGTGAAGGCAATCCTTGGATTTCCGCCAAGAAGATTAAAGTAAATGAACAAATTTATTTTTGAGCAGGAATTGTGCTTAGACCTGTTTCCAATGAGAGTTTCTTCACCTCGTAAAATTATATTCATTTCTCGGATGGCAGAATTGAATTTGGCTGTAGCTTGTATCGAGATCAGAGATAAAACCTTTCCTTTGTGTTGTTGAGAGGCTGTTCTGGACCTCTGGTTCTCAGCAAAAATCATCAACAGCTTGCTATCACGCCATACCAAGTAAACTCCAATTAATTTGACACCCAGATTAAACTTTGGGTTTCATTGCGGTTGGCTGATATTCAGCTCAGTAGACTTGGGTACACCCTGGGATCCTGAATAGCTTATATTCAGCCTTGAAAAGTCGACTTGCAATTATGGGGATCTTTAATATATACGAAGTATACACTGAAGGTTGGGTACCTAGTCCGTGCAGGATCGGATCTTTCCGACGGGCTGCAAGTCGGCCGCAGATTTTGATGGGTACCTGGTAGTGTCACGTGTATGATGTTGCCTGAGAACCCAAGGCATCAGTTCTCGCTTAGACGTTAGCGCCGTTCACAATCGCACATACAACTTTTAAATTTGGACCCGCGATCTTTTTGAACCAACAAAACCAGTCGACAAAAATCGCCCACGATGTCTCACAGAAAGTTCGAGGCACCTCGTCACGGCTCTTTAGCCTTCTTACCTCGCAAGAGAGCTGCCCGTCACAGAGGAAAGGTACGTTTGCAAACCCCAAGGCGCTGCGCTGACATTTGCTTGCGCATCTGCTAACTTCTCGATAGGTCAAGTCGTAAGTTTCCCACCCCTCCTCGAGCATCCGCGCGATCCTCCCGATTCTGCCGCTCGAACAATGGCTAATTCCATCGTAAAGCTTCCCTAAGGATGACCCAAAGAAGCCAGTTCACTTGACTGCCACCATGGGCTACAAGGCTGGTATGTCCACAATCGTCCGCGACCTCGACCGACCAGGCGCGAAGTCACACAAGAAGGAGGTTGTTGAGGCAGTCACTATTATTGAGACACCACCAGTACGAACAATGCAGCCCGCTTGGCAATTGTGTCAATGGCTAACATCTATTATAGGTGATCGTTGTTGGTCTAGTTGGTTATATCGAGACTCCCCGTGGTCTTCGATCCCTCACCACCGTTTGGGCTGAGCATTTGAGCGACGAGCTTAAGCGCCGATTCTACAAGAACTGGTACAAGAGCAAGAAGAAGGCCTTCACCAAATACGCCAAGAAGCACCAAGAGAAGGGCGCCGCCTCCATCACCCGTGAGATCGAGCGCATCAAGAAGTACTGCTCCGTCGTCCGTGTCCTCGCTCACACTCAAATCCGCAAGACCCCTCTTAAGCAAAAGAAGGCACACTTGATGGAGATCCAGGTCAACGGTGGTAGCGTTGATGACAAGGTTGCCTTCGCCCAAGGTCTTTTCGAGAAGCCAGTTGAGATCAGCTCCATCTTCGAGCAAGATGAGATGATTGATGTTATCGCCGTCACCAAGGGCCACGGTTTCTCCGGTGTTACCAGCAGATGGGGAACCAAGAAGCTTCCGAGAAAGACACACAAGGGTCTCCGAAAGGTCGCCTGTATTGGTGCCTGGCATCCATCTCACGTCCAATGGACTGTTGCTCGTGCTGGTCAAGACGGATACCACCACCGTACCTCTGTCAACCACAAGGTCTACCGTGTTGGCAAAGGTGACGATGAGGCTAACGCCACCACCGACTTTGATCACTCCAAGAAGCAAATCACTCCGTAAGTACTTATTTTGAACAATTTGAGACCCCAAAACTAACAACAAATAGTATGGGTGGTTTCGTTCGTTACGGAGAGGTCAAGAACGATTTCCTTATTCTTAAGGGATCCGTTCCTGGAGTTAAGAAGCGTATCATGACTCTCCGAAAATCCATGTTCGTTCACACATCAAGAAAGGCCTTGGAGAAGGTTGACTTGAAATGGATCGACACATCATCAAAATTCGGACACGGTGCATACCAAACTCCTCAAGAGAAGCACCAGTTCCTGGGTACTCTGAAGAAGGATATCGCTCCAGCTTCATAAAATTTGTCTTAGCATTTCTGTTTTTTTCGGGGCTTCACTATTTGGTGTATGGGGGAAAATTACATCGCACCATTGTGCTATGATGATAGTTACCTGGGTGTTTTACTCGGGGCAATGAGGCGCTAGCAGATACTATGAAATGAAGACATTGTGAAATCCAATACTGTACAACTGTACAATCTTTATACCAAATCAAAGTGATGCTATCGTATGTCGAAGTTGAAAATCGTTATCTTCAATCCTCACGAAGTACAGGCAAAACGTGTTACCTGGTAAAAGAATATGGCCTGGGGCCGGATATGCTAAGGATATACTCGTAGTATCCATGTATCAAGCTTTTCTTGTGCTACCCTCTTATACGGTCGCATTCTCATTGACTAAGAGTAAAAGCTATCGAATGTAAACAAGTTGATTCCAATTATCAGTCTATTTCTAATAATAAAACTACATAGTACCCAAATAGAGTAGCAGCAGCAGGTTGCATCGCCATGCAAAATCTTATAAGACAGCACAGTCATTGGCAAGGGAACAATGACTTTTTTCCATCCCATCTCAAAACCTGCAGCTGACAGACGAGGCACGTCCCCGCAGAACCCCACCATACAGTACCTATTTACGGAGCTCCAACAGTACTTACCATCAATATCATCACAACTCATGGGCATTCTCAGCTCGATACTTGCAAAAGTTACTCATTATCGTACCAGACGGACGGGAAAACGCGACAAGAAAGGGACCGAAGCTGTCAAAACATCAATTCCTTCGACTATTGGTATTGAATGCGGATCAGGATCAGGATCAGCAACAGGAGATCAATCGCGGTCGCTGGGGCAAGCAGAGCAAGGGAAAGCAGATTCAACGTCGCAGGGAAATACGAGAGTACAGGGGAGGTTAGAGGTAAGGGGGAAAGAAGAGGTGAAGCTGAAAGCGGGAGAGAGGTGAGGGGTTCCTTTTTGCATCTTTCTACTGCTTTCTCTGCCTACTCTGCCTCTTCCTCTGCCTCTACCTCTTTACTTGCCTTTCACCCCTCTCTGCCTCGCAGCTTCCACGACCTCCAACCTTGTAAGACGCTTTCTAAATTCCCATCGCGGGGTTTCTGTAGTTCGACCAGCACTCCTACCACTCCATCGCATAATCAAACCCAAAACTCCCAACCTCAATCGAAGTCGGAATCGCAACCGCAGTTTGCGACTCCTGAAGATAACATGGCGACCGATGAAGAATACATGGCCTTCCTCGATAAGGCGAATCAAGACCCCAACGAGGGCGTCGCGACGAGCGATGCTAAGGTCGAGTTCAAAACTACGGATGCTGATGTGGAGATCCCGAAGGTGTTGAGGGAGGCGATCAAGGATAAGTGGTATACTAGTGATGCGGATGAGGAGTTTGTGGTTGTTGCTTTGAGGGTTGAGGGGGGTGGGTTGCCTGATGAGTGTTTGTTCCCCCTGCCCCTCCTTTTGTCCCTTTCCCTCCTTCCCTTCCCCCTCCCTCCCTACAATATCTCGTACGAGTATCCAGCTAATTCTGGGGAATGAACAGCCACCTTTGCGAAACTTATCTATCACCCCTCGCCTGCCGATGCTACCGTCGAGATCCTCGATCCTTCGACCTGGGATCCGCAGGGTGAGTATCAGGATGTTGTGCAAGCTGTGAGGGAGGTGACGAAGGGAGGAGATGTGAGGGTTTATCGGGTTGAGAAGGAGGGCAGCAGGGTGGAATATTGGGTTGTGGGCGTGGAGGGTGGTGCGCTTTTGGGGGCGAAGGTGCTTGCTGTTGAGAGTTGAGCTCATATCTCTTCTCTTTCTCGTATGTTAGGGGATTGGGTAGTGCTGGGGGAATAATATGGGGGTTTCTGTGGTTAGGAGGGTTGGTTGATGATATCCTGGGATTTTTTGAAGATGGGTGTGGAGTTGCTTTTTTGTGGTTTCTGGGAGGATCACGGCCGATTTTTCTTTGATAGTGATGGGAATGAGTTGTTCTCGGGCGCGAGTAAGAGTATGAGTCGATGTAATAGTCGTATGATACAACTGCCTGCTCCCCTTCTGAGAAAGAAAGAGAACAAGGACAGCCGAATCTAAACATAGTGTGTGGTACGGAGCAAAGATTTTCTCGACAATCGTACCACTTCGAAATTTCACTTCCCATTTCCTAGTAGATATATCATGCGAGAGGGCCACTTTACCACCCTTCTGAGTTCCAAAGCTACAGTTCCATGGCTAATTTGCATGCTATGTGGTCACTAGTTGATAATTGGTTCCCTATCTGTCTGTCTGGTAATATGAAGCTACGGTCTTGAATTGAGTGCATATTCATTTATAATATTTGGGGGTATACTGGAGAGTGTTAAGTGCTTATTTGATGTACTGGTATTTGAAGCCCTTTAGGCTAGGCGAAGAAGAGAAGAAGAAGAGAGTATTGACTCAAGGTTTGGATAGTTGCACAGATGGATGGATGGATGGTCCGTTCCTGTATTAGATGAGGCTAACGGATCTACGAGGATCTTATTAAAAAGGCTGTGATGTAATGATGATTTTGTGCTAAGGGTTTCGATGGGTTCTGGTGAAATCTTTTGAAGTTCGCACCTGGCCGTAATGGCTGTGGTAGTATTACCAGGCTGTTAATATTCAAAGGTAAGGTAATTGATGCTATCGACCTTGAGTAGAATTTATAGTGGTTCATGATTTTTGGTAGGATAATTTTGTTTCTGAAGAACTTTGATTGGTAGGTAGGTAGGTAGGTAGGTAGCGATACTAGGTAAAGATGCCGACGAGAAGATTTTAGATCAAGTTCTTTTATATGTTAGAAGTACCCAAGATATCCTAAGCAAGCTAGAACGCTTTGCCACATTTAGAGATTTGCAGTATTCGCTTCTCTTCCAAGCAGCAAGCTTCACCTCAAGCAGTTTCAAGTTTAGATAGCCCATTCACCCGCGTGCCCAGGAGCACCAGACTCCCAGGACAACACCAACCACCAATCCAAAAGCTTTTTCGCCACTTCACAACAAAAAACCAACCAAACCCCCAAACCAGAATCAAAAATCACAAAAAAAACTCCTAAGGGTAATGACCTAGGAGCCGACTATACTCTGCAACTCCAAGCGGGAAGCTTGGAGAAGTTGGTTCATCTCGCAAATCAGTCGCGCAGCTCGATCCTGACTGTTGGGTCATGGACGTACTTTTTGAATTAGCGGAATCTGATTGCTGGCAGTGGGTTTCTTATTGATGGCTATAGATGACATGGGAGTGGGGCATTGTGGGTTGGGAGGTAGCTGGTGCTGGTGAATGCCAATGGAGGAGGGGGTTGTTCGCTTAGGGTTGGGGTGTTAAAGCGGCTTGGAACTTTGGGGCGGATTGATGTGGTGATGGAATTAGGACGAGGGACGGTTGCGTTGATGTGAAGGATTTAAGTTCGAAATAGGGATTTGAGAAATGAAAGAATAGTGTGGCGATTGACTCGCTTGCCCAGTTTGAGACTTCCAGAAGATGATCGACTCGCGGGTGGATATATTTGAACTGCTACCAAGCCCTTTGCGTCTCTTTAAATTCGATAGCCCCCCATTATAAGATGGCGTGTATGTATGTAATTACAGCTTATCTTCGAAACGGAGGCAGTGTAGTGTAACTCCGTTCCAGGGGTGCCACATTTCTTGACGATCGATTGAGGGCTCATCAAATGACTACCCGATAAAGGCACATTTGGCAGCAATAATCTCGTTCAATCGGTTCGACTGATGGCTGGTGGTATGCCGTCGTTTACACTCTTCAAGAGCCGTGCTTGGACGGCTTCAGAAGCGCAATAAGTCACGACAGACCATTTTGCACAGGCATACACAATGTTCGTTATTATTTGATTTGATGTGTAAGTTACCAAAATTCAATACGCTCCTTTCAAGACTGGACTCCATGTAAGATCTAGAGTTCATGAGGGAACAAAATTTCGGTGGGCTTTGGAAGTTCCCAATTGTACTGTACCTCTTCCAGATGATTACAATTCTCAAAGTACCCACAGCGTAGATATAATTAGAAAAGATAACTAGGTCGAATTAAGGCTCAAATGCTTAGAAACGTGGCCTGATAAGTCAAACTGCTTTATTATACAGAGATGATGCTATACATGTGGACACTTTAACTCTACTTTGAGATTCATCTACTTCTTGTGATTATCCAGTCTGAAAGGGATAATTTCAAGTCTAAGTGGCGTTACCATCTCCTGTGCGAATATCTTAGTAGTATTGCCAAGTAAGATCAGACAGCTGTTCAGAAAATTGCGCAGCATGTAGCTTATCCCATCTAACATCAGACGGGTGCATGGAATATTGAAAAGTGAGTTACTCCGAAGGGTCCATAGCCGGATGGAGACATTCAAGCTGGAGTTAAACCTTGGTATGATTGTAATAGTTCTAACCTTTCAGGCCATACATTCGATTGTACTGGTTATTATTACTATTAAGAGTGTCAGAATCCATCAGCAATTGACAACTCAAGATCTTGAACGAGAAGACTTTAACGAAAGGAAAAGCACTCCTCAATCTCGGCTGTGGATTTATAAGATGAAGTGAGGCAGGGGTAGGAAACAGATGATGGGAAAATTCAAAAGTGAGAGTTGGGAGGATAAGTGATAAGAGAGAGTCTTGTTTGATGGGGAAAAAAGTGAACGAAATCGGTGAGGTGATCAAGGTTTGAGGTAGAGTAGAAGTCTAGTGCTTCATCTCTGTCTTCTCCCAACCGTCTGCGGAAATATCCTTGGGTCTGAGGGTTTTACCTAGAGAAGCCTTTCTCCTCAATCCTGGGGCATCAGTTACCATTTTTCAAGGGGATCAGCAGGAAAGTGACGGCGACTGAGAATTCGCGTAAATTCCATCAGAATTAAACAGTATCTATTATCCTTCGCCTTATCCTAGCTTCCTTACTTTACTTTCATTAGTTCAGGCTTTCTAGTGAGTATGGCCAAAACGTTGCCCAATTTCATCGCCATTAAATTTACAGCAAGAACCACCATGTATCCCATATACCCCAAACCAATAACTTCCATGACATTACAACGGCCCTAACCAAAATTCATCAACAACCAGTATTCTTCCCAGAATAATACTCTGGATATGTTCTCTTATACCCCAACATCCACTCCCCAATTACCACTCCCAAAATGAACATCACAATCCTACTAACCCACCACTTAACACCGTCCGATCCGGGACAAGGAATCGCCAAAGATACATCAACAGTGTACAAAAACAGCTCCAGCTGAAAAATACTCGGCTGACTCCCATGAATCCTGCAATCCTCCAGATACCCCAAGAAATTCCGGAAAAACTGCTCTTCGTTGGTTGTATTGCTTCCTGGCGGATCAATACGGATTTTCACAACCAGTTCTTCGCTATCTGAAGCGTTTTCAAAACGATGGTATGTGCCCACTGGGAGATGAACTGGAGGATCTCCGGCTGTTTTCACTACTTTGCGATGGGCTGGGTTGGAAGCTGTGGGTTGGTAAAAGATTCCTGTTCCTTTTTCGACTAGGAAGTCTTCCGTTTGGAAGAGATGTAGGTGAGTTGGTGGATTGAGAAAGGATTTTTTGTTTGGGATGGAGTGGGTAACAAAGTATGGGGCTTTGTTCCCGTGGAAGGTTTGTGAGGAAGTGTCATTCTCGTAGGCGATAGTAGAGATGTTGGCTGTATGACGCCGAGGAGGGGTCACGCCTTGAAGAAAGGAAAACATCTTGAAGGTACACGATGAGAGGATTGCGCTTGGAGGGGATGTTGATAAGGAATGGCTTTGTGAGGTTGACTAGATAGTGGATCCGCTTATGTCAGATTTACGGACCTGCGGGCCAACAAAAAATGGACTTTGTTTTTTCTGGTAGTGGCGTCGCTGGCGTGTTTTTGCTTTATTACATCCGTTGGCTTGGCTGAATAAGGTCATAGCGATAAGCTAAGTCTCACTTCTAATTTACAGCTGAAGATAACGGGGCACCTTGGCGTTGAATATCAACTATACCTAGACCTCCCAGTTGGACTAAATGAAAGCAGGCCTCATGAGAAGTGTCGGAATTTCCAGACTCGCCACGGATCTTTCTGCGCCGAAGTCGTTGCACTCTGAAATGCTTGGTTCAACCCCCCTTTTACCTAAGCGAAAGTTTGTTGGACCACATCCTAGAGGTCAGAATAAGTAGCAGAAAACCACCTTCATATTAATCGTTCTGCCTATCCAAACTTCCAGTGGTCAATCTAGACCTTTTAGAATAACCTCTTCCATTGTCCAGGGTGCTCGGACGATTCTATTGATCTCTCCAGATTGTCCAAATAAGCAGAAGGTACGGATTATAAAGATACGATAAAAAGAAGGGCTGTGAGGTGCCTTTTTTCACTTTCTATAGGATGATCACTGGTAAAATTAACCGAAAGTAGAAAAGTCAAAAGAAGCTACCTAGGTACCTATACATATCAAATTTGTTGAGGATAATGCACAAAACGAAGTTTAAAATTCCGAATATATGAGAGCAAGAGCTTATATCATTCTCATCCCGACAATCCATATGAGAAGAAAAACTATGTCAAAGTAGCTGTTTGGCGTTTTATAGCCGAAAATCGGAGGGGCGAATCTTATGCCGAATAAATTATATGGTCACACGGTATGGCAGATCCCATTATCTCCTTATCTCCGCAGTTCCAACCCCGCTTTCATGGAAATGTGTCTGAAGATTGTATCTCTCCAATCCGAGCAATGTTGCAACGCCACTTGAACCACCAATCTCTGCTCGTTTGGCGTTCGGTTCGCTAAAGAGTAGAAAGCTGCTATTTAGCACCAAGGTGTGATGCAAATGTGGACAACTTCGAGACATGGTATGGTAAGAGATTTGCGAATATTAGAAACAAGCGGCCCACACCAAAATACAGAGCTGGCAGGAATCAAATGTCTTTTTTTACATTACAAAAAGGCTCAGTTTAAATGTTATTCTGTGTAACAATGTATAGATAACAGTAAATAATCATTGATGGATACAGCTTCAGACTATCCTCAGCGTACAAATCTGAAATATTCTATCTATTTGACATCGAGAAATCCGTTCGCAAACTCAATGCAGTCAGGCCACGAAGTATTCAGTAAAGTAAATCTTCATATAATGAAACTCAACGACTGCACGATAACGGCGGAATTTTATTTGGGGTCCAAACTCTAGCATTCGAGAGAGAAATACGATATTCAGGTGCCATAGATTCACTTCTAAGAGATTGTTCAAATCAATGACGCGGCATGAGGTCAATAAGTTGTTAATTTTGGAAGATGGTTCTCAGACGTGCAGAGACTGAGAAAGAGCTCTTGATAATGGATCCCTTAGATCTACATGCTGGTATATTCAAATTCCTATTCACTCGTGCGAACTATGTTTGAGTAGGTAGAGACAGCCAAGATGTAACCACCGATGCCTAAGGTGAACAGGGATACGAGAGTCTATCACCTGCGCTTGTATTCGGAAATACGGAGTGATTCCACTTCACATGCCATTAGAGACCCTTGGGCCAATCGAATTGATTCTTTTAAACTCGAAGGAAAAGTACACCGTTTCTCTCTTTATAGATTGAAGTGTTACACTAACAATCCGGGAGAATACGAAGAGCAACGCTTCGGTGCTATAATACTGACTTATCCAGAGACTCTCGATACCCCGACACTGAGACGGAGCACTTGTAAATATATATGAGAGTTCACAAGAAACCTCCCATTACTGTCAGAGAAAAGTACGAAAACCATGTGGTCTCGCCAAAGGCTGAACCGAACCGAACGAAGTTCTAGGAAGAAGTCTACCTGGAACTTGACACTCTTGAACCCCTAGCCGATCAAGCTCATGTTACTATGAGGGCTTCCAGTCGCTATATCCATAATCTTCTTTAAACTGAGAGGTGGAAAACTGAAACATTGTTCAAGTGGAGAGATGTGTCGTCGATTTTTTGTTGCCGATATGAATGCGGAAATAGTCAAATGCGGTGAATTCAGGAAACACAAAGTAGGTAGCCGTCAAGTGGGCTGTAATACAGGTCCCTACCTTCAGGTACGTATCCAGTCCCTGTGTACCGTGAACTCTCCCGAGGTCCTCGACGTCGACTTACCTAATGTGGTCACTCGGCTGGCGAGCCGAGTCGAGGGATCTAGGTTGTGGACTCGCGCCTTCCGTACCTACCTAGGTAGGCAACTTCAATGATCTGGTCCCAACCCAAGCGAGGGTGAGACAAGAACCCAATGACAGACCTGAGTTTCCAAGGTTGGATTGAGGCCGGTTGAGGCTGAGGTCGCTCCTTCCCTGACAAATTTAGAAGTCGACCTTCGACCCTCGACCCTCGACCCAATGAAACCTCTCGTCATTCCCGACGAGACGACAAGAGACGAGGCGAGACTCGAAATCAATGTCGCTCCTTCCCTCTGGTTTCGTCGTCCAAACTCCTGACCCACAATGCCAAGACCACCCATCTGCCTCCAGACTATAACCCCCCCCCTCGCCGTTGCCCTCCTGAATAAACTTCTTGTCGCTTTGAAAGTATCGCGGGGACGAAGGCAAAACCATAACCTGAACACTGAAGGTTTCCCAACGGGGCATTGGGAAAGACTTTCATCGTCTTGAAAACATTACCTAGGTACGGACGGACCGGGACGGTTGCTGGGAAACACCTGCACTTTGGCGAATTACAAGGAGCGCGAGATAGGTTTACATTGCGGTGGTTAGGTTGAGAGAGAGAAGTCCATTCAAGCGTTGGTTCTCACGGCTTAAATTTCCATGTTATGCTGCACATCAATCCCGCGGCGGTACAAAAGTGCTCCCTTCAAGAAAGGCTTAGGTATTTGAGCATGGGTTCAGTAAGAGCTTGAAGCTTATAGGTACGATGGTGTGAAAGCCCTCTATTGAGGCATATTGTAATGATTGTATGATTCTTCAGGTAGTACCTAGGTAAGCGATATCGTTCGTTGTAAAAATTACCAAGCCGTAAATCCAATAGTCATCAACCCTACAAAACTTATAGAGGAAGTAAAGAAGACTAAGAAATCTGAAAGCAAATTAGCCAGAGATGTAAGGGACACTGGAGGTATGCCCAACTTTAAAAAATATACTGGTTGAAAGGATAATATTGTCTTGATGGCGACCTACCTAAACCTCCATCTTTTTGATTCGCGAGGACCGAGCCCCTCGAAAATCCAAACTGCCCGCAAATCGATGCACCAAGGCTACTATATATCGTCTTGTGTGAGAGATGTAGCAATAAAGACCTTTCAAAGGCTGTGAAGGAGGTAGCTATGCTGTTGAAACTCGAGTTGTATTTAGACGATGCCGCGTTATTAACCGACAAAGTCCATGATATTCCAAAATCGATGGCAGCTTTAAAGTTGAAAGTAAGAAAAAGAATGTTGTCTTTCCTGCTACTGTCGGCCTCTTGCCAACCTTCTTCTTTTCCCCTGCTGGTAATGTTGGTACTCTGTTAAGCGTGACGGCAACAGGCGACGTAGTAATCGGAGCGTGAGCAAACTTACTCGTATGCGTCGTTTGAAAGTATCGAGTTTTGCAATTGATATGTACTCTTTATCAAGAAGTTCCTTGATGATTAATAATCATAAGTAAAAGCTTTTCATTGATTCGACGCTGATATCTCCCTCGAAGCGCACTTCTTTGCAACAATTGTGGATTGTCGTCTTCGTTTGTTATGCTATAATCTCTAGCCTCGTCCAAAAACAGTCCTCGACATTGTGCTCAATGCCGCCTCTAGTATAGGATCTACTAACAAGTAGAGCGAGAGAACAGCTAGGTACTTGCTGGTACTATGTTCTTGCAAAGTTCGTAGGTGACGTTTTGATAGGCCAATATTAGAAAACCCGACTAAGTATCTCATCAAACTGATTTAGGTCTAAGTATCATTTGAGTGCTAGAAATACCACCAGAAGTATCTGTTGTCAGATGGGATTCGGGGCAGAAGGCTTGTATTCTTCAAGTTAATAAGCGAGCTACTACTTATTTATACTTTACACAGGAACGAACTGTCTCAAAGGAGCGGAATACGTTAGCAGTCATGTGGCGGTCATCCGGGGAATCGAAGTGAAGCGAAGGGAACTACCCACTTCCAGACAACAAATTCTTTTGTTGTAGCTGGATATACATATTCTTCCTTCTGATCTGAATTCTTTCGTATTCGTGGGCTTCTGTTGATAATCTGCCCCGTCTCGGACGGAGAAACAAAACTAGGTCCCCAGAGCTTTCCAAGCCTCCTCATCCCACGTCGAGTCATCATTCCATCGTGATCCCCTAAAAGCTGGATTACCTAGCACCGATCAGCACTGATAAGTTCATACTTGGAAGTGATACTGCATCAGCTTATTGAAAGCCTCGAGGAGGTTGAACTAAAAGACAAAGTCACGCATTTTATTGCCTTGAACCGAGAAGCCACTCTTCAAAAAACTACTCTTAGAACCAGTTTCTCATCCAGGACACACCAGACCTTCAACCAAACGTAACAATACCCATGTATATTAAGCTTGTTGCAAGACTGGGGTTTGTCAATTAAAAATACCATCCTATCTTACTATTCGCAGTTTGTGGCGGCAGAACATAAATCGAAATGGCTTTCATTGCCTCCTAAGATCCTTAGACACAGTATTAGTCTCATCATATTCAAAGTATTTTTCTTCTTCTCGTCCCAACCACCACCATGACCATCAAATTCTGCGTTAGGTGTATA